AAAAAATTTTTTTCTACATTTTTGGTAACTTCATATTTAATAAGAGGGAAATTTGGGGTTTAGAAAGATTCTTGTCATTACAAGCTTAAGTTCTACTGTGAGAGGAGGGATATTAATCAAATAATCACATAAACACATGTACAGACTGTGAAAAGTGCCGTGAAGAAGGCTTACTCTTTTTTAATACAAAGTAAATGTAGCCTGTGAATGTAGATAAAATGGCATTCATATTTCTGAAGACTAATTGATGTGAATAGAAGTTAATGAAATTTGTCTTTAACTTACAATTTGAAATATAATTATGTTATAGAAAAATTTTAAAAATACATGTAGCAGGGAGAAAGTATTTCAGATACCCATACATCTCTTACTGTACTTTGGCAGTTATCAGCATGCTGATTCTTTTTTTTTTTATTGAATAACTGTGTATTTAATGTGTACAATATGATGATTTGACATACATTGTGAAGTTTACTAGGTTATCATAGTTTCTTTCATCATATCCCCTGTATCAGTTATGTTCCATTATATCTTCATAAGAAAAATTTATTCTCTTTTATATGTGTATTTTCTCTTAAAAACTCATCTTTACAGTAAGAAGAATGTTGAATTCAGAATTTTGGACTATCCTATGATTTCAGTCGATAAATTATTTTTGGTTTTTACTTTTTAGGTTACAGGAATTAACTGTTTGTTCAGAAGACAATGTTGATGTTCATGATATAGAATTGTTACAGTATATCAATGTGGATTGTGCAAAATTAAAACGACTCCTGAAGGGTACGTTCAAATGTATGATATATCTGAAATTAATCAATGTGGGTGAAAAACCAGAATTTTGAATTTATTAATTATATTGTGTTGAGCTAGGACATCAAAATGGATTTTATAATGCAAATGTTTTGTGAAATGGCCAATGATACTTTATGGTTCAGTAATTTTTAAACCTTTGAAAACAATACAGTAGAGAGAAAATGAGTATCTTAAATCTTGGCAATGGAAAGTTTTGCTCAACTACAATTTTTGCTTTTAATAAAGACAATCTAAGAATGCTGTTACTTAATTTTTCTAGAATTTCATCTCTTAAAGATAGCTGTAAGTTACAGAAGGTGTTTGTTTTGCTGTTGCAGTGCTAAAAGTAGATGGTTTAGCAGGATATAAAAGTTTCATTGCAGAATGGAGCCAGAAGACTGCTTTTACAATGAAAGGAGAAACTGAGTTAGGAATCTCATTTCTGACATTCTGTGTTCAGATCTGTTACTGACTGACTGACTTTACAGCATTACAAAGTCTTTTACTCTTTCAGTGACTAGTTTTGCTTCTTTGTAGAACATGTCAATAGTAGTCACACGTGAGGATATTATAATGTGTGATTTTAAGGCTTTGGAGAGTGCTTTACATGATTATGTTGATTGAAATAAACTATCAGAAGAAACTGAGAGAACTTTTGTGATAAGCAGTAATGTAGTAATATAAATTAAGTATCAGTAAGTATTATTAATAAGATGAGTATAAATACCTAAATTCATTTCACAAAAATTGTTTTAGTTTTATGTAATGTTGGATTCTAGCTAATTTAAATGTGAAACCTTATAGTATATGATTTTCACTTTTTTTTACTTTGTATATTGATTAAAGAATTGTCAATAATGTTTTTTAATGTCTGACCTAAGAGGAAATTTAGTTGTATTAACTTTGAAAACCTCAATAGTTCTGCAGTGTAATTTTCAAAGTACCGTGTTTGGTTTTCTATGGTGAAAGGAATGGAAACTTCCTGTAATAGGAATAGTAAAAGTAGTAATGTGTTTTAAATTGAGTTCAGCAGCATTTGTTGAGAAACTATTCAAGAAACCATGCTAAGTGCTAGGCTTACAAAGGTTAATAAAATGTTGAATCTCTCCCTATGGAGCATATGGAGTAGTTTATGGAAGGTATATTATTATCAGATTATTTGCAAAGCAATGTGACAGAGACAGACAGAGTAGAATAAAGTGAGAGAAGAAGTATGTATGTATGTGTTTGGGGGTGGGAGATGTTAAAAGGAAAAGAGCAAGATTTGGAGGTACAAAAGTAGGTCCGGTCATATCAATAAAAACATAGTAATGTTTATGGCACTTTCAGTATGTGCCCTACATCATGCTATGCAGTTTACATGCTTTTTCTTTTCGTCCTCAAAATAATTCTGTGAAACAGATAATTATTATTACCATCCCCTATATAGATAAGGAAACTGAGGCTTAAGTAACATTTCCAAGGTCATATCGCTAGGGAGTGGCAGGATAAAGATTCAGTTCACATCTGCGCATTTCTAGAGCCAGAGTACTTTACTGCTACCATGTTTTGCTTATGGGCTGTGAGGCTTTAATTAGTGGCCATGGGAAGTGATGAAAAGGCTTTTGGGTGGGAATTACCTTGATCAGTATTTTACTTTGGATGTACCACTTTACTTGAAATTTGCAGGATGATTTGATAGAAAGTTACATGAACTTCTGGAACCTAGTTGTTTAGTAATGTGAGTGAGATGAATAAGGGTAGTAGAAGTCTGGATAGAATGTGGTAATTTGATATGGTATTTAGGAAGTAGAATACATGGCCTTTTGAGTAGAATACATTGCATAGTTTTTGGTGATTGATTTAGGTATGTGAGGTTAAAGGGAAGTATCACCTAGTATTACAGAGCAAGCTGCTTAAAGCGGGAAAGGAAGGGTTGATGGGGAAAAGAGAGGGACCAGGAAAATAAATTCAGTTCTAGATCTATTGAGTTTTAGGTATCAGTAGGAGATCCAAGCAGAAACATATAGAACTGGTGTAATAAAATGTTTATGCATTGGAATTGAGAATAAATTACTGTGTATAACACATTTAAGATGTCATAAAGGTAAAGTAGATGAATACAGGAAGGCAAAAGGATTGAGAGCACTGTGAAGTGTAATGCTATTATTTGGAAATCAAAGAAGAGTTAGAGCAAAGAAGGTTGGGAAGATATATTTTAAAACTGACTTGAAGAGCAAGGTACTCATTTGCAAGTCCAGAAAAAATTGACTTTTAAAAGATTATTTAGACAATTTTATAACTTGAAGACTTTATCTTAGAAAGATATTTATATAAATGTAGTAAGTACCTGTATCCTTTCATTGAAAGTCCATAGGGCAAGTTCTCTGCCAAAATAGTTTATAAAAGGAGCATTTTTTCCATATATAAACCTTTTTGTAGATGTAGACAGTAAATTTATAGAAGAGGTTAAAATATCTAATATATCTGGAGAAATGTTTAATCTTGTTTTAAAAATGCAGTCTACTATTTTGAGCAGTCAAATTAGAATAAAAGAAATGAACACATTTAATGGTGGCAAGGATGTGATAAGGACACATTCATATGCTGCTTGGTGGTTGTGGCCTTTGGCCCAACCCTTCTGAAAACTAGCTTGGCAAAATTTATCAAGAACATTAAAAAATCATCTCTTGGACTGGATAATTCTGTTTCCAGATATTTATGTACTTTAAATAATCAGTAATGTGGAAAGATTTGGCTATAAAAAGTATTTATTAGTGTTATTTATAATGGTGAAATATTGGAAATATCTTAAATGTACGATTGGAAAATGTTTAAATAACCAGTGACTTAAATATTCTGAGAGACATCAAAGCATAAAGCCCAATTCAGTCATTTATTAGATCTGTAATCTCATAAACACAGTTGGTTCATTTGTAATATCTGAATGCATTAAGATTTTGAAAGAATTAAATTTATAAGATTGAAAATACCTGGCATGTTGTAATTGTTCAAGTAATAGTTACTATTAAATATAAAGCCATCAAATATATGTATGAGAATTCTTGCTGACATGGAAGAAATTGAGGAGACAATGTGAAATGAAAAGAACAGGTTTAATGTAGTCTGTCTAATGTCAGTTATGGTAAATATGTTTGTCTTATACATGCATATGAAAAGGGAAGGAAGAAAATTCACCGAACTGTTAACTGTGATTGTCCCTGAATGGTAGAATCCTGGATAATGTTTTAAATTTCCCTGAGATTGTTGTGTATTTTTAAGATTTTCTACAACAACCATGTATTTTATATTTGTACATTTAAGAAAAATACAGTTATTACTAGAAACAAAACAAAGGAAAAAACTCACAACAGCCTTTGAAAATCAGGGCTTCTTACTGAGTTTTGTCTTGAGTAGACAGTGAGTTTTTGGTTTATATTAATTATCTTTACATTGCTTAAAAATAATACTGGAACAAAAGTTTGTATGTAAAAGTAAATTTATTTTTACTAGTAGCTCTGAATTGTATTTGTGTTAACTAATAAATCTAGAGTTAATTATGAAACTTTTTTTCCCCAGAAACAGCATTTAAATTTAAAGCCCTAAAGAAGGTTGCACAGTTAGCAGTTATAAATAGCCTGGAAAAAGTAAGTTATAACTTCTGTGGTATTAAAGTTTTGTTAATTTTTGGTTATAAATGTTGCTGTCTTCCGTGTTTTGAATCAAAAAGTTATGACTTGAGTGATAATTTCACATTAATTTTTAGGAAAAATGCACTGCGATATTCTTGTGAAGGAAGTTAGTAGTTTGTGATATAATTGGAGCCATATGACATTTTATTAGTATATTAAGAAAATAGCACATAAAAACATCTGTTTTGTTATTTGTAGGCATTTTGGAACTGGGTAGAAAATTATCCAGATGAATTTACAAAGCTATACCAGATTCCACAGACTGATATGGCTGGTAAGGATAAGATTGTTTTGTTTTTGCTTTTGTTTTTTAAACTCTTACTTATGAGATAAAAACCTATCATTTCCAAGTTACTTTTGTTATAATGGTGCTTTTAATCATTTCAACATATGTTGAACAACAAAATAGGAAATCGTATTTTCCTCCTATATTTCTGAATTACCCCTAAGCCTTTTTCCTTTCCTTTGAACAAATAGATTAAGTTTGAAATGAAGCTCTGATCTCTAATTAGACTTGTGGGTTGGATATTGATGGCTCTTTGTTATAGAGACGCACTTTTTGTGCTCTGAGGCTTTATTTTGTATTTAGAGAGATGTGTTTAAAGTAGGCATATCCTCACTTGGAATTCTCAAGACACAACTGCAAGGCAGAGAATAGAGACTCCTGGAGAGCTCTTGTGATTCCCTTTTGGAAGCTGTTCAGTCTTACTTCTTGGTCACATTACACTTTGCATAAGGCCCTGCACATTGAGACTAAACACAAGTCTGGCCGTTCTAAAATGTGAACTTTTCTAGAATGGATCAAGATAGCTCTTCCAATACATAGGCAGTGTAACATTGCTTGTCGAAAGGACACAAATGAACTTATCTACAAAACAGAAACAGACTCACAGATATAGAGAACAAACTTATGATTACCAGGGGTTAAAGAAGGTGGGAAGGAATCAATTGGGAATTTGAAAGTTGCACTTCTTGGGGAGTGATGGAAATGTTAGCTCTCTTGATTATGGTAGTGGTTTCATGGGTATATGCAGCTATCAAAATTCATCAAATTGTATATCTAAAATATGTGTAGTTTACTGTACCGGAACCATACTACAATAAAAGTGTTAAAAAAAAAAAAACAGCAAAAAAACCCATTGCTTGCCAGTTTACCTGAATGAATTTGTTGAGTTAAGTGAACTTCCAAGTTTATCTTGAAAATGTAGCCTTTAGCTTTTGGGGTAGTGCCAACTTTTAATTTAACGCCAGAGATTTCTTCTCATTTAATAATATCATTTAATATTTATATTTTTCACATAGAGTGTGCAGAAAAACTGTTTGACTTGGTAGATGGTTTTGCTGAAAGCACCAAACGTAAAGCAGCAGTTTGGCCACTACAGATCATTCTCCTTATCTTGTGTCCAGAAATAATCCAGGATATATCCAAGGATGTGGTTGATGAAAACAACATGAATAAGGTGAGGGCAAAGTAATTTCCACTATGTCCAGATGGGATGCAATTTATTTTACTCAAGATGTATATTACTTTAAGCTTAGTAAGCACGTCATTTCAGGGGACCATTTCTGGTTGCATCATTGTAGGTTTTTTTGTTTGCTGGCCTTAGCAGAGACACACTTGGACATAAAATTAGTTGGAGGAAAAGTATATCAGTGATAACATTCATTGATGAAAGATTTAAAACAGTCCCTTAGTTGCATTCTTTTACCACAGAAGACTAAATAATACTTCTGTCAGTATTAAACATAATTTTTTCCTCTAATAATCAATGCAAGCATTACCCTACTAAAATTCATCATTTTTGTGTGTTTTTGCATGTACTTAGGTTTGTGTCCACTTGGTACTAATGAAATTGTCTAGTGACTCATTTTAGGTATTTTAGAATAGTTTTCATAGAATTTTATTAGGAAAGCAGGGTACCACATATGCCATCTCTAGTGAAACTGGCACTGTAACAACTGATAATTCTAAGGGGCACTTACAAGTTTTTAAAGATGAGAGCGGGGTATTTAATCTCATTATTTTATTTGAATTTCTATATGTGGTTTGTTTTGATAATACATTTTTATAATATAAATATTAAAAAATTTATATATTTTTGCCCCTTTGGAAGAAATACTCTTAGCTGAATAAACATGAAATGGGCTCCTGCATGACTTGCCTGTGGATGGAGATGTTCAAAATTAGCTGAAATGATTTAATACTTTGTAGAAATACTGAATAGGGAGTTTTTGCATTGACTGGTAAATATATGAACTAGATAATCCTTGGGAGTCTGTGATTCTGTGGTACTCCACTTAGGTTTATATCCCAGCTTGTCCATTATGAGGACATCTATTTTCATGCTTAGTTATTTTGGAGTCCTTCAAAATAGTATGTATTTTATTGCTTCTCTTTATTGGGAAAATGCACATAAGTAAAAAGCCTAAGTGAATTTGTATTTTAATAATCATAACTACATCTTTCCAAATGTTCATTGGTCATTTGTATATGTTTTGTGAATTGCTCATTTTTCTATTAATTTGTCTTTTGTTGATTTGTAGAGTGTGTGTGTACATTTTTTACTTGGTCTCTCTTTTTAAACGTTGTTTATGGGTTTTTGTTTTTGCTATTTATGTATGTAAAATTTGTATGAAGTCAACTCACTCTTTTTCTTTTTGTTTCCTAGTTTTTTGCATCAGACCTCTCTCCCCCAAGATTTTATTTATTCATTTTATTGAGATACAATTCACATACTATAAAATTCACCCTTTAAAAGTATACAGTTAAGTGATTTTTAGTATACTCTCAAAGTTGTGCAATCATTATCACTGTCTAGTTCCAGAATATTTTCGTTGTCCCCAAAAGAAACCCTGTACCTGTTAGCAGTCACTCCTTATTCCTCTCTAACCCCATCCCCTGGCAACCACTAATCTACTTTCTGTCCCTATGTATTTGCCTGTTCTGGACATTTTGTATAAATGGAATTATACAGTATGTGACGTTCGTATCTGGCACTTCCCAAGATTTTTGAAATAGGCTTTTATATTTTTCTCTAGCACTTTTTCTAGGTTAAAGAATTTCAATCTTTAAATCTTTCTGGATTTTAAAAATATTTTTAATGTATTCTCATTCTTTTCTAGTCATATTCCTTATGTGCTAACCAGTGTTAATGTTTGATATATATCCTTCCATTCATATCTACTTGCTCATACAAACATTTAAATGAAAATACACACATTAAGGTGCTGGTTGTTATACTTTAAAATGAAATCATTTTATACATATTACTCTGCATCTTGTTTTATTTACTTGTCTGTTTCTCAGAATAGCTGATAGAGATCTAACACATTCATTTAAGTAATTGTGGTAATACTCTCTGACACTAATGAACCTCATTTACTCTGCCATTTCACTGTGAATGAATGAATAGCTTTTTTCAGTTTTTTGCCTTTGCATTTAGTCCTTAAGTAATTATCTTTGTTCATAGATTCTTTTTTTTGTTGTTGTTGTTGTTCATATATTCTTGTTAGCTGATGCTTTTAATTCTATAGACCAGAATTCCAAAACTGGTATTTCTGTGTCAAGGGAATTTGCATTTTAAATTTTTAATAGACAATTCCTAGATTTACATTCCCCAATATTTATTTGTAGCATGTCACATTTTCATGAACACTGAATTAGAATGCCTGTTTCCTTGCATTCTCATCAGGACTACAAGTTTTTCATTCTTTTAAATTTTTGCCAGACAAATGAGGAGAAAAATAGTATCTCATTTTACTCCTCATGGTTAGTGAGGTGCAGGATCAATTTGTGTTTCTTGGCTGTTTGCATGTTTTCTTTTGTGTAAAGTGTCTATTGATTTCCGTTGTCTATTTTTCTATTTTGTTTGCCAGTCTCTTTTTAACTTACGGGCCTTTTTGTCTATTAGGAGCAGTAATCTTTTATTTTCAGTTGGTTTTAAGTATTTTTCACTTTTTTTTTCTATAGTATCTTTTTTAGCAGAAATATTTGAATGTAAAATGAATATAATAACCACCCATACTCCTATTAACATTTTGATATATTGCTTATCTTTTTTCTATTTATATATAGTTTAAAAATAGAGCAAATTATATTTGCATAAATTCTCTTTAATTCCAGATAAAGCTCAAGTCCTCTTTGATTCCACTAATTCCATTTTCTTTCCCTCTTCCCTGGGAACAGCCACTGACAATGGTTGGTGTACATTCTTCTAGTCTACTTTTTAAAATTTTTATGAGACAGGGAGATTGAGATCAAGATCTAGTTCAGTGCTTTTCAGAGTGTGGTCTTAAGACCAGCAGTGTTAGCATCACCTGGGAACTTGTTAGAAATGCAAATTATTAGATCTCCATTCTAGGCCTGCTGAATCAGCAGCTTTAGGGGTGGGACAGAGCTAGCAACCTGTTTTCATCAAACCCTCCAAGCCATTCTGGGGCACACTAACATTTGAGAACCATTGTTCACTTAGTTTATTTGGTTCATTTTCCCATCCCTCCAGCCCCTAGCAACCACCATTCGTTCTGTCCCTATGAATTTGACTTCTCTAGATAACTCATAAAAGTGGAATCATCTAGTGTTTGTCTTTTTCTGGCAGGGTTATTTCACTTAGGATAATGTCTTCAAGGTTCATCCACCTTGTAGAATGTGTTAGAATTTCCTTCCTTTAAGGCTGAGTAATATTCCATTGAATGTATATACCACATTTTGTTTATCCAGTTTCATCTGCCACTGGACATTTGGGTTGCTTCCACCTTTTAACTATTATGAATAATGCTGCAGTGAATGTGGGTATACAGGTATCTCTTTGAGACCCTACTTTCAGTTCTTTTGTATATATACCCAGAAGTGGTATGGCTGGATTGTATATAAATTCTGTTTTTAATTTTTGGGGGAATTTTTGTCTCTTTCAAGGTTATTTTTGACAGTTTATTCTTTGTTAGGAAATATATTTTTCAGTTTTTATCTGCAAGGAATTATATACCTATGTATTCTATTTATAGTATAGAAATATGTAAATGAAATATATTTATTTACAGTATTTCTATATTCTCTTCTAATTATTTTCTTCAGTATCCACGTTTATAACTCTTCCTCATCGCTTATATTTCTAATTTTCCCTCATTCATGTTTACTAGGGTTTATCTATTCTACCGGTCTTTAAAACCTGGCCTTTTATTTTTTCTTAACATTACTATACAAAAGTTTAATAATGAGAACTTGGCCTTTTGACTTTATATTTTCTAGCATTTAAAAATTTTCTACTTCATTAATTTTAGCTTTCATTTTATTTATATTTTTATTTCTTGGGGTAATGGTTTAATTTATCTATTTACAGTTGTTATAAAATTGTAGAGTTATCTGTAAGGCTTTGAATTTTACTTTTTTAGCAACAGTTATGGTTTTCAGATGAAGTGTTCTCAATTTTATTAATTTCCAATCTCTAACTTTCTTACTTAATGATACAATATTTGACTTAAAGGAATGTTTTATAGTTCCCAAAGTGTTGGGGTTTTTGGGTGATTTAAAACAAAAACTTAATTGTGGTTAGAAAATGGTGGTACGTAATTTTTTAAAAAATTGTTTCACAGTTGTCAGAGTAGAATGTTTATTATTTTAGTAGGGTGCAGAATTTAATGTAAATCTTTGAAACCACTCTTAGAACTACTATATAGGTGGCTTGAGATAATCCCTTTGTGGGAAATGCTTGGTTTATCTGGCTGGGCTCCCTCAGGTAGCTAAAAGACTTTGATAGTGTGGCAAGACTCCTCCCAGGCTTGGGTAATCATGCTTAACTCTTTATTATAAAACAAGCAAGGAAACAAACAAACAAACAAACAAATAAACAAGTAGAACCCTAAACAGATCAGATCAGGCTTTCATTTATACCATCCTAGACTGCAGACTATATATGAAAAGTAGTTCTCTTTTTCAGTTTCTAAATTTTATTATTACTTTTAATTGTATTATTATTCTTTTATTGTATTATGGTAGATACTATAACAGCTCAACACAACAGAGCTTTATTATACTTAATGAAATAGTACTGAGCAGCTGAACTGAATAGCTCTGAAGGACAGTCCTCCTGTTTGTGGTTTTATGGATCCTTGGCCAGCAAAGACTCTGTCATTTTCAATACATGGCATCTGTGGGAGTTGTTTCCATTCTGCCAGTTAGAAGGGAAAAAGATGGCATGGAAAAGCATGCTGAGGATTTTTATGGGCCAGGCATCACTTTCATTCACATTCCATTGGTTGAACTCAGTCATATAGCCACATTTAACTGCAAGAGAGAAAAATGGCTCTATCTCCAGGAAGAAGAGGCGAACATGGGAACCAAGGAATAGAGGAACTAGGGGAGAGCTAGGGAGTCAAGGATGGCTTAGACTGCTGTCTCCCTAGAATTCCCAGTAATTTATTTATGGATAAAAAGTTAATATATCAAGAGTACCTGTTTGCAGGTACTGTAAGAATTGAGGTGGAGCTTGGATAGTTAAGAAAGTTTTATGGAAGAGGTGTGGAACTTTAGTTGAGCTTGAAATAAGAATGGAGTTTAGAAAAGAGAAAGAGAGTGAACATTGTTCAAGCCAGGGTCATCAACAAAATGGATGTAAAAATGTTGAATGTATATTCAGAAAAATTAGCTAGAGTGTGGAAGGTTCATGTAGGCAGTTACAAGAAATGAAGATGAAGAAGCAGATGTGATTAATCTGGAAGACACTGTGATCCAGTTTGAGTTTAAACTTTATTCTTTAGACAATTAGGAAAAGTCTAGAGATTAGTGTTAGAGGTAAAATATGCAAAGTAGTGTTTTTGGCTGATGAAAGGAAAGTCAAAAATGGGAGCTGGTTCAGAGGAAATACAAGTTTAGCCTTTAAAATTGTATTTACTCCCTTTCGGTTATCGCCCAGAGAGGAACAAGGTCGCGGGGAGAGGAGCTGTTGGTATGCTGCCGCCATTTCTTCCGCCTTCCGTCTCTGCGCCTTTCGCTGAGTTTCCAACAGCGCTATGTTGGGACAGAGCATTCGGAGGTTCACAACCTCTGTGGTCCGAAGAATCCACTATGAGGAGGGTCCAGGGAAGAATTTACCATTTTCAGTGGAAAATAAGTGGCGGTTACTAGTTATGATGACTTTGTACTTTGGTTCTGGATTTGTTGCACCTTTCTTTATAGTAAGACATCAACTGCTTAAAAAATAATCCAGGAAACAGATAGGAAGAGGAGCATTTTAAGAGGTGCAATCTCTGAAAAAATAAAAGGATCAAACTCTTGGAACTCAACATACTAGATATGTTTGTAAATAAACTAATGGCATAAAAAATTGTATTTACTTATTTATGTTGTGGTAAAGTAGCATAAAATTTACCCTTTTAACCATTAAGTGTACAGTTCAGTGGTGTTGAGTACATTCACAGTGTTTTTTGTTGTCGTTTTTGAATTATAAGTGATCTTTATATATTGCTACTTTATTAGATAAGTCTGAAATCTAAAAAACATCATATATCATCTTATTGCTGTATTTGAATTTTGTAGAAGTTGTTTCTGGACAGTCTACGAAAAGCACTCGCTGGCCATGGAGGAAGCAGGCAGCTGACTGAAAGTGCTGCCATCGCCTGTGTCAAACTGTGTAAAGCGAGTACTTACATCAATTGGGAAGATAATTCTGTTATTTTCCTACTAGTTCAGTCCATGGTGGTTGATCTTAAGGTAACATGCTCATTATTTCTCTTCTACAAACTTTAAAAAAATTAAATGAAAAATAGACTTCTACTATAAATATTATACTAGATCATTATCGAAGATCATTGCTAACACTTAAGTTCGAGTATTCTTCAATAGCAATAGGACTTGCTCTTGATACTGTTCCTCAGGCTAAATAAAGTGGCTTAGAATATGAAGAAAACACAGAATCAACCTGTTTTCTTAAATTAACATAAATATTCAGAGTTGGGTTTAAAATAATTTAGAAATTTGGGCCTGAAAAGAACCGTATGTGGTATAGTTAAGAATTTTATCAGACTGATGAAGCACAATATTAGTGTTTTATGTTTCTTCTGGCAATTAAATGTTAGTGCCATTTATGTGGATGATGTGTTACTATTAAATGCTAGTAGAAAAAACACTACTGACTGTTTAAAGGCTTTTGTTTTCTATTGGGATTTTCATAGAACCTGCTTTTTAATCCAAGTAAACCATTCTCAAGAGGCAGTCAGCCTGCAGATGTGGATCTCATGATTGACTGTCTAGTTTCTTGCTTTCGTATAAGCCCTCACAACAACCAACACTTCAAGGTGAGAGCATTGGTTTTGATCCAGTTATGTTTATGGATGCTGTTGATCCTTTATAAATGTGAAAAGACTAGAAAGGTGAATAGGTTACACTTTTATTGATGTTTCTCATTATTATATGTTAAATTTTTAAGGTCTTGAAATGAAATTTATTCTGTTTTTTGAAAACTTTCTTTTTGTTGTTCCTTTTGTCCTCATTTATGTTCCTGTGTATTTTTCTCATAGACATAATCTGCTGTTTTTTCCTTTACTCTGTAGATCTGTCTGGCTCAGAATTCCCCTTCTACATTTCACTATGTGCTGGTAAATTCACTCCATCGAATCATCACCAATGTAAGTCCAAAAGGTATTGCTAAATTACTTAAAACTTCTTTCTTTTTTTTTTTTCTTTACTCCTTTTTAATTTCTTTTTATGAAAGATGTTTTTGGTTTACAAAAGTTTTTGGATTTAGATGTATGATATAGGAAGATTTCTCACATGTCATTACACCCAATAATGATAACACACTTATATTTTCCATATTTAATCTTCACCTGAGGGCCCTTATTGAGGAAGGTTGATAATAGGATCCTTTGGAAAAATTAAACGTAAAACATTTTGTTAGGCTCAAAAGCCCTTGAGAACAGTGTCATTGAAAATATTTAATTTTCATCCCCAAACTCTTCACATATTATTTTAATACTCAGCCCTTTCCCAGTATTTGATACATTCTGACTTGTTACCTTACTATTTAAAAGTAGCAGTATTTATGTTCTAGCTCATATGTACATTAAAAAAATGGTGAGACCACATGTGAGTGTACTTTACTCTTCCTTCAACAAATGAAATACTAACACTTAAAATAGAAGTGTTTACATGATATAAAAGCATACCAGACTAAATAAGCAAACTGATTAAAAGCTACTAGTGAAACCTTCAACTCTGATGTGAGTACATTAAGCAGAAAGATAGTGAAACCATACCAGTTTGGATCATGGATTTAAAAAATCCTGTTCTTCTGATCATATTTTGAGGGTTCTCAAGTGTTATTTACTGTAGCTCCATCTTATCTGTTTTTAGATATTCACACATATGTGTTAAGTTGTTCAGCTTTTTCCTGTTTTCCTTTCTTAAGAAGGGCTTTAATCATTGATAACTTAGGTGTATTTATCCTCTTCATAATCAAATTTCATTTTAAGAGTGTGTCTCTAGTGAGTTAAAAATACCTTCCCACCTTCATTTGCCTTGAATGTGTTGAATTATATGAAATTTTGCTACATTTCCTTTTATCCATTTCTGCAGGGGAATAATAACTATTAATAAAGCTATTCAGTGACACATTTAGTTTTTCTCAGTGGGGTGTTAGTAGCCTATTTGGTCAGGACAGTCTGTTATGTAGGACTACCTCATACATTGCAGGACATTGAGCATTCCTGGTCCTCATTTCATTAAATACCATTTGTGCCACTTCCCTCCTCTCCTACCCCTACCCCTAGACATTATGAATAACTAAAAATGCCTGAGAGAATGATACCTCCTTTAGCTGAGTGTCAGTTACAGGCAGAAGTAACATTACTCTTTGTTCTAAAAGGGAAAGTTTAATGAATATGATTGCAGATAAAGTATGTTTGTATTAAAAACTTTAAAAATTTTTACTTAACATTTACTTTCAAGGTCAATTAAAAAAAAAGATTTTACCCTCTCAGGTTTATGTGTAATTCAGAAATAAAATATTATTACTTTTTTCTCCTTTGGCCTATAATACTGAAAACATTCCATTTATTGGAGTGGATAGATTTACATAAATGCTTAAACTTGTGTTTAATAAACACAAATATATACTTTTTCTTGATAATTTGTGGCTAGTTACTTTAATTGTGAAATATTTTTGTCTACAATTGAATATATAGAGCACTTTCAAGCATGGACTTGGCACTGCTGTAAGTGGCTGAGCTGCTCCTTTGTGGGTTTGAAGCATGCCTGGAGTGTCACTTCATGCATGCCTCAGTGTATATGGTGAAGTGATTGTGCATCCTCCTACACTCTAATGAGTACTGCATGTGTGAAGGTGGAGTGTGTCTGTATCAGAGGCCACGTCAGTATGAAATCTATTTTTATAAAGAAAAACCTATATTGACTAATTTTTAAAATATTAAGCATCAGAAGTTTTTTAATGAATAGCTTGGAAAGGAGCATAAGTTTGTGTCTATAAAATATTTTTTAAAGTTCTGCCTTAGATAATGATACTTCATCATAATAAATTGTTTGATAAATTGCTTCTTGTTAGGGTTTTTCTTTCCTTTGGTTTGAGGCTAATAGATACTGAATCTAAAGTAATTTCTGACTGAAAAGGACTATTTATAAAGTAAATATGCAAATTTATGAAGTTGACTATTACAGAATTTCACTGAAGACAGTTGTGGTGAAAGTATTTTGTCTGGAAATCACATAAAATTTTTCTTAGATATTTGGACTCCTAATCTTAAATTCATTTGTAATAGATTTCCTTTTAAATGATTCTTGGTTCAGTATACCTCATAGGTTCTCCTCTTCCGTGGTTCTTTAGCCAGTTCACAGATTTTTAAAAAAATTCCTGATTCTCAAATAAGATAAAAGTTTTACTGATGTGGTTTTGAGGGTTTATGTAGAAGTAGTAATGATGTTTGCAGTTTTGTTCTGCTTTTGTGAAACATACTCAGTTTGTAAGTACTGTGTTTAGATCTACAAGAGTCCACTTCCACTGTTCTTCTTAAATCTGAAAGTCTAACTACTGTTTGAATTTGATTATAATTTAAGCTTTAATCAGTTTCTAAAATGGTACTCATATTACTGTACCTTTTTTTTATTATGGAGTGCCATAAGAGATGAATTATAGATATAAGATCTGTGTTATATGTAGTTAATCTTTATAGTCTTCCTTTAGGTTAAATTAGATATGTTGTAATAATTGGGAAATTAAAGTAGTAACATACACATATATGAACCAAATACCTTACCCATCAGTGGGACATGCTATATAGCTGGTGTAGGTCTTAGTATTGTTTTTGCCTTATTGCAGTTTATTGTAGTTTGCTTATGGTTAGTTCACATATTGAGAATGAGATGATCTCTTTCTATTGAGAGGTTTTGGTTGAAGAAATTACTTGGAATGCATGTGAACTTAATTTAAATAATCTTGAAGAATTATCAGAATAATTATTCATATTGTAAAAGTATTGCCATTTGTTTGGCAATAAACTTAGAATTTCCAAGGACAAAAAAGAATGTCTACTGTAATTGACTAGTTTTAGAAAGGACACATTTAAGAACACTAAAATTTTTACCAATTACATGATGTCTAATTTTTACTGCCTATTTTATTTGAAAGTATATCTTTAACTTTTACTTTAAAATGAATAATTTTATATAAATTTTACATAAATTTTATATAAATTTATAAAAAATAGCAATTATGGAAATCACTAAATCTCAAGTTAAAATCAAGTTATTTAGTAGGGTGCACTTGGTACCATGATACAATTTCACCAGCTATCAAAATGGCATAATAATTTGGATGGAATATTACATGAGATGCATATGTCTTCAGTTAATCAGTTTCTCATAAGACATTATGGGGTCAGTAGAGTAAGGAGGACCATTCTCTCAATGCATTTTGTGATTATTCAGCCTTTGTTGCTATAAGCTGATTAGCACAAGCTGTGTAAATGAATAGATATATGGAAATCAAGCTGTGCTGATTTCTCTGGGCAAGTCAGATGGCCAAATTGACCAAAGTTTAAGGAATCCATTATATAACCAAACTAATAAAACTTGATCGTTTGTTAGGAATTAAAGTAAGAGTTGAGAGGAAAGCAGAAACAACCATACTATCCAAATAAAAGTATTTCTTCTTTCACAGCTTTGTAGTCTCTTCCTAAGTGGAATTCAGTATTCAGATTGTATTTTGTAAATTGGTTTTTTAATATACTAGCTAGTAAGTAGAGTTCACAGTCCAAAATTTGGGGTCTGGCTAATATAACCTGATGCTACTGAAAATATTCTGAGAGTTATGGCTAAAGAAATTAAATGTTGAGAATTTAATTAGTTTACTTTTAAATTAGAAGGAGCTTGGAAATAGTATGTAAAGCTATTAATCCCCTTTATCTACTACTTCATTTGTTTTTTTCAGGTGTTAGTTTTAGCAGGAGTATTATAAATTGGAAGCCTTTATTTTATTCCTATTCCTTGCCTAGTCTCCATATGTAGTGAAAATTTATCCAGTTGTTTTTATATTAATCTGGTAGATAAACTTTATCATTTTAGTGATTTTCATAATTGTCATTTTTCATAATGTCGTAATTAATTCATTTTAAGTAAAAGATGTACTTTCAAATAAAATAGGTACTAAAAACTAGAATCAAATCTCAACAGGTTAAACTGAAACAAAAATATTTACTTAAAATAATTAACCTTTAAAAAATATTTAGCTTAGAAAAATATGTACATAAAATAATTAACCTGATCATTTTGTCTTTGTGGTACTCATTAGTCTTCTCATGTATTATGCCATCATTGCATATCAGTTTAAGATTATAGGTTTACTAATAGCTTTATCTCATTTACCAATTTCATGTTGTAATTATGTTTCTGAAATGTGTAAAACATTAAACTTATTTAAAAAAGAAAAAGATTGGCTACAGAATTATTTTAAAATTCTGTTTTTCAGATTCACTAGCTTATCAGTGAGAAAAAAGTGTCTCATATGCTCATGCTCATGCAATGAGCGATTTGTCTTATGTTCATTATGATATTGTAAAGTAGATGTATGGTTTGTGGTTTGAATTAAAGTAATTACTTGAAGACTTTGGAAATCATGGTGTGTGTTTGCATGGTCTTAGAAATGTTTCTCACAAAATGATAAACCATAAAACTACAGTGATAACCAGTGCATGTAACTCATGCAAATTTGAACTTTTCCTTTCTTATGGTCCCTGTTTTTCTCCAGTCTGCACTGGATTGGTGGCCTAAGATTGATGCTGTATATTGTCACTCAGTTGAACTTCGGAATATGTTTGGTGAAACACTTCATAAAGCAGTCCAGGGTTGTGGAGCACACCCAGCGATACGAATGGCACCGGTAAGATTAATCATGAATTTTGAATTCCACCTTTTTGTGACTGCATTTTCAGTGTTTTTATCCCATTGTTGCTGTTTTATTTTAGAAAATCAAATGAGTCCTTACTTTTCAGTAAGTAATGTGATATGTTGTATACTGCAGTACTGTTGCAGTACTGGTTAATGGTGTATATTTTTCACAATTTCAGTGAGTTTAACTTCCTTCTCAGAGATATTTTCTAACAATGCTGTTAAAATCTTAATGTTACTTTTTCATTCTTTCTTTTTTTTTTTTTTTTTAGTTACCTTTTCATTTAACTTTTCCTTATGGATCAAAATATTTTGATTAGCTCCTTATCTCTTGGGGATGAGTAAGGGAAACTGACTCCTGGGTTAGAGTGAGTGTTCCTACTAATGCAGTTTTGCCCAGTGGATGCTGAATATTGCTCACAGGAAATTAGAAATAAAATTTAAAATTCATACTTAAAAATATTTTATATTTCGTTTAACATGCTTTGAAAGCGTTTAAAATGATAGGCACTTTGATAATAAAGTTTGTGTTTAAACTTAATAAAAACAGACTGTTTTCATCACATATTCTGACAGATTAATACTCTTAATTTGGAATTTAAATATTCGTATGGAACCAATTTAAACAGACAGTTGTAGGATGGCAGAAGTAATTTCTTGGTATTTATGTATAGCAGGAATATTATACATGGCAACTCTTGACATTGATTGGTGGTGCTGTCTTCTGCTTCTTATTTTCTGTTCTTATTGGCTGCTGTCGCTCACATGATCAGATGCCAACCAGTCACTGTTTTGCATGGCAGTGGGCTTCTGTGGCTGTAAGTATGACCATTGTAACTACCTCAGAAAAGTCTTTGGTTTCTTTGACTTTTCTGTGTATAGTTACCATTATAGTCACATCATGTCATTTCAAATGAAATTGAAGGATGTTTTTACTTATTGGTTTTATTACTAAATTAGCCATTTCTCACTTAATAAGATAATTTAAACAGCTTCCTTCCTAACATGCATCTCTTTTTCCAAGTTCTTTTAGTCTGTAAAGTATTTTGGTTTTGTACAGTTCTAATTCACTCTTATACAGTTGTCAGAAATTGTTTCTAAGGATTGTTTATCTTAGATGTTCAAATAGAGAAGTTTTCTACACCCTTTATTTTGAAATTGTTTCACCTAAAAAATTATGACCAAAAGAACATTGCAGTGATATTTAATTAAATAAAATACAAAGTTATTTATAGTATGCTTTTTGTATTGCCAAGTACTTAATTTTTTAAAGAAATGAATATTTCAATTCAAGTATAAATTAATTGGAAATAAATGTAAATTTATAGCTACATAAATGTTAATAACTAGACATTTTAAAAGTTTTAGAAAATGACTTGAAATAAACTGTTTAAAAATTATTTACTGACCTCTTTATTCAGTCCAGATATCTTCTGGGAAGTTAGAACTTTGACTTTTTAAGTTTTCTACCTCTTCCAGTGGCCTCCAATAATAGGAATTTGTGGAAAGTTGATATTCACTTCCAATTTGACTTCAGTATCCAGTTTACCAGCTGCCTGTAATTTTCTGTGCATGAGGATTAAAAGAAAATGAAACTAAATTATTCTTTTGAACAAAATCAAAATTTTATTGATAGTCTGAAAATTTTCCCCACATTTAGAAGTTATTTTATTTTTTAGCCCTTGTTATTGGCTGATTCTAGGAGCTGCATCCTTATACATACTATTTATGAAAATTATTTCATAAAAGCCACAACTGAACTTCTTCGTTTGGTCCATTCTTACCTGTGATAAGAATTTAATTTTTATTTCTAATTATTCTCTGAAAGTATCAGTATACATTTGATTTTCAAAAATCATTTTTAAGCTGTTTATATCCATGTATTTATATATACATGAAATTTTTATGTATATATATTTTACATAATGGCTAAAGGACAGCTTTCTGTCTGATACTCCTATCCGAGAAAATAATCAACAAATTTAACATGAAATAATTTTTTAGAATAAGAAAATGTTAGAATTTGGATGATCCTTAAGGCGAACCTCACCCCTCTTAAGCCTGGTGAGTGAACAGTCAGACAACAAATATAGGAAATATTGAACTCCCACTAGCTGCCAAGTACAGTGTTAATGCCAGGAAAGCATGATGAACTAAACAGACACAGAGATGCCCGTCTTGTAAGTTTTGTTTGAAAACTTCTAATGAGTCTACCATCGTGACCATAAAGTCTGGAAACGGTCAGATATACATAAATGGTTTAGAGATGATCCTTTACGTCAGAATTTCTCAACCTTGGCATTGTTGACATTTTGGAATAGATAACTCTTTGTTGTAGGGGACTGCTGTGCATTGTGGAATGTTTAACAGCATCTCTAGCCTCTGTGCTCTAGATGTCACTAACATCCCCTGCCCCAGAGATGGTCATGAAAACCAAAAATGTCTCGAGACATTTTCAGGTATCCCCTGGGAAATGAAATTGCCTCCAGTTGAGAACCACTTTATTACCTGGTATGGTCAGTGGGTTGTCCTTATTTGCATTGCCTCAGATAATTTGTGGCTCTGATAAACCTGAGCTTTCAGCTTGCTGCGAAAGTAGCAATCAAGGAGTTTGGTATGTAAAAGGTAAAATAATATCTGTGTTTCTAGGCTTTATAACTACCCTGTATTTTGGATATGGATAAATTTCTTTCTGGAAAGAGCCACCTATTTGAAAAATTTTCTCCAAACAAGATTGACTCATATCCCTATCACTCCCAGCCATCATGATCCTCTCTCTCTTTCTGGAGCTCTATAGAACACATATGATTCTTCCATAAGATATCACTGCAGATATTTGAATAAAGTTATACTGTATTCCTAAGGGTTCTTTTTATTTGTACATCATTTTAGCATTGGAAGGGATTTTATTATTTCAGCTTTCTTTAAAAGTGTGTGTTTGCACACTTTGTTTCCTCTGTCTTTCTGGCTGAGGAAACTGAGGCACAAGTAATTTTAAATAAATGACAAGTCATCACATGGTTAGTAAATAGTCAACATTCAGTCCAGTGTCTTTCCAGTTCTTCAGATGTCTTCCCTTCTAGTGTGTTAACTTGCTGAATACATGAGCCTTGTCTGGCTTATCCAGCGCTGAGTTCCTGGTCCCTAGAACAGTATCTGGAACACATTGTAGGCATCTACTACGTATTTGTTGAATTTCTTACTTGACCTGCTTTCAAAACTCTCTTCCATCTGGTACGCTTCTCTTCTGGAAAGAATCTTGATTTCTTTTTTTCAATGAAAATGACACTAAGAGCTGAGTTTAGTGTTCCAGATGTGGCATAGTAATTGATGCAAGCTCTTATCCTGCTGTGTCTGCATATGATATTTCTGCTAATACAGTCTAACATTATCTTAGATTAAGCTTTTAGTCATTTAGACTCTTTAGCCTTTTTTCATATGAACATTGAGCCATAGTGTCTCCATTTTGTACTTTTGTAGTATTTTTTAACATTTGAGATATTTATCTCAGCACTGATCATTTACTATTGTAAAAGTAAAATAGCCTGTTAATAATATGTGTAAATTCTGCACGTTTTCCTTCTTAAAGAAGATCCTGGCTCTGCACATGCTTCTTACATGTAATTCAGTCATGGTCATGGCCTGTAACTTAATTGAAGAAATGGTTTAGATCCTCCACAGACACCTGGATACTCTGATTTATGAATTTTTTCCTGGGCATGACTGTCTCTTTTCTTTGGCCAATGCACATATATCCCTGTTTGAATTCCTACTGACATTTTCAGTGTGGAAGATCAGTTAATAATTAATGAATGGGTTATTTTTCTTACATTTCTAGCTAAAAAGTATATTTCTTCTTTAGCATGTTATTTCTAACTTTATGTAACCCACTTCTGGTCACTAATTAAAAGGTATTTGAATTGAAACATTTATTTACATTTTTCAGGTCTTTCTCCCTAGTTTTATTGACATGTAATTAACCCACAGCACTGTATACATTTAGTACAGCATAGTAACTTACATATGTTGTGAAATGATTACCACAGTAAGTTTAGTTCACATTCATCATCACATATACCTACAAAAAAAAGTTTTTTTCCTTATAATGAGAACTCAGGATCTACTTTCTTAACAACTTTCTATACAGAAATGTTAATTATAGTCATCATATTGTACATCCCCAGTATTTATTTAACTGAAAATTTGTGCTTTTGACCACTTTCATTCAAATTTCCCAACCTTCACTCCCTGCCTTTGCTAACCACAAATCAGATCTCTTTTTCTGTGAGTTTTTCTGTTTTTTTTTTAAATTCCACAAGTAAGCGAGATCATATAGTATTTGTCTTTCTCTGCCTGACTTATTTCACCTAGCATAATGCCTTCAAAGTCCACCTATGTTGTCCCAAATGGCGGGATTTCCTTTTTTTCAGTGGTTAAGTAATATTCCTCTGTGTGTGTGTGTGTGTGTGTGTGCGCACATGTGTATACCCCACAATTTCACAACCCACTTAAGTGGTTTCCATGCCGTGGCTATTGTAAATAATGCTGCAGTGACCATAGGGGTGCAGATATATCTTTGACACAGTGTTTTCATTTTCTTTGGATAAATACCCCAAAGTGGAATTGCTGGATCATATGGTAATTCTATCTTTAATTTTTTGAGGAACGTCCATAGTGGCTGCATCAGTTAAATCCCACCAGTAGTGCACAGGAGTTCCCTTGTCTTTACATCCTCACCAGCATTTATCTTCTGTCTTTTTGATGATCGCCATTCTGACAGGTGTGAGGTGATATCTCATTGTGGTTTTGATTTTCATTTCCCTGATGATTAGTGATGTGAACACTTTTTCATGTACTTGTTGGCCATTTGTATATGTCCTTTGGGAAAATGTTTATTCATGTCCTTTGCCCATTTTTAAATTGGACTTTGGTTCTTGCTATTGAGATGTATGAATTAACCTCTTTTCAATTTATGATTTGTGAATTTTTTTTCCCATTCCCTAGGTTGTCTTTTCATTTTGTCAGTCATTTCTTTTGCTGTGCAGAAGCTTTTTAGTTTAAAAAACATCCTGCTTGTTATTTTGTTATTTGTGATTTAGGTGTCATATACAAAAAAATCATTGCTGAGACCCATGTCAAGGAACTTTTTCACTGTTTTCTTCTGGAAGCTTTGTGGTTTCCAGTCTTAACGTTTAAGTCTTTAATCCATTTCAAGTTAATTATTGTGAGTGGTGTAGGATTTCTCAAGTCTTACATTTTATATTAGGCAGCCATGCTGGAACAAAATTTACATGCTGATACCTGAGATTAAGATATGACATAGTTAAGCTGTTATTTACTTTTTGGAAATGATTAATAAATAGATAATTTTTATATCTGCTAATTATTCTCTGATCTATGCTTCTATGTAAAGGCTGCATCAGGGAAGAACAGTTAAACTTAGTTACATCTTAGTAAATAAATTTGTTTAATGAATATTTTACCTTGGTCTAAGATGTTAACCTCAACTTAGAAAGAAAAAGTTTAATGGGAGCATACAGTAAAAACAGCATTTATTAAATACATTTGATAAGATATTTGTTGTGAAATTTTAAATATAAAAACGAACAGTATTTGTAAGTTTCGCTATATTTTTTTTCCTGTAGTGACTTTCTTGTAGTACATTAGATAGCTGTTCTTCCCCACTGAGGACGCAAACCTTCATGCTTTTGGGCATAATAACAAATGCATTTCTCAAACTTAGACACTGAGAATGATTGCCGCGTGTTCTAGACAGACATCTTTACCTTTTATCTTTGAAAGACAGCCTGTTTACTTGGATATTTTTATTATGAATGCATAGCTGCTGGATATTCTCCTATCTGTTATTTGCGTATATGTGCATATGAAGGCATACATGTCAAACCCAGATATTTTTGTTTCCTTTGAAGGTAAAGGGGTAGTGTTTTCTAAGAATAGAGAGAAAGGTGGTATAGGATCCAGAATATAATTGTTGGATTTTTGGTTGAATGTCATCCATAATTATAGTGTCAACATGACATCCACCATAGTATCTCTCTAACTGAAACACATTTTCCATGATTGAAATTTTCTCACAGACTTCTTTCTCTATTTTATTAGTGTTCTTCAGGCATAATACATGCATTCTGTAACTTGAAAGAGATGGAATGCCATTAAAGGAAAAAGAAAAACTTAAAATTAAACTGTTAAATACAGAGATTGCCTATATAGCATGATTCATCTATTCTAAGAACTTATTTTTAGTTTTTAACTTTTCTGAAATTGGGGGTGCATCTTATTTGTATGTTGTCTTATAGTTGACAGTGAGTTTACGTTCCTTGTGGTACGTAAAATAATGATGCATCTTACAATTGATAATGTCGCTGATTCTATGAAATATTGAGTGTATATGTGTGTGGGATGTTGTGTTAAATGAGTTGCTCACTGTATGTATTTGTGAGAGCTATAGACTAAATATTTTATCCTTAATGTTTTCACATTTGGAATGCTGTTTTTAACATAGTAGTTAGCCTTATAGTAAAGCTTTTAGCAGATTTTCAGTTAAACTTTATTAGATTATATAAGAATAATATAACTGTTGCAAGAATAATTTTTATTTGCTTTTTGAGCTTAATTATTTTAATCTTACACTTCCTATTGAATGTTTCTGCTAGTATCACACATTTGGTGATATAAAATATGTCCCTTTATTTTTTCAAAGTTTTTTTTTAATTAAGATTTTTCTTACTCATTTACAATAAAGTAATGAAGTTATAAAAGGCATATATTACTGTGAAAAGAACATACACTCCATTTTGCTGATGCAAAATTTTTTTAATAATAGATCTGTTTTTAAAAGTTGAATAGCTATTATCCTGATTATCTGATTCTTACAAGGAGATGTCATATTTTTGTTTTTGTTTTTGTTTTTGTTTTTTAGAGTCTTACATTTAAAGAAAAAGTGACAAGCCTTAAATTTAAAGAAAAACCTACAGACCTAGAGACAAGAAGCTATAAATATCTTCTCTTGTCCATGGTGAAACTAATTCATGCAGATCCGAAGCTCTTGCTTTGTGTAAGTATTTTTTTATGAAATGCCTTGAAATTACTACACTAACTTAGTTTGGTTTAACTGAAATTTGAAGATCTTGGAGGTGATTGTTAGCTCAAGAACACATACTGATCCTTTCTGATGATATGTGGAATCCAAGGCATCCCTAAAAAAATGAACTTATGGGTAATACTAATATAATTAGATCAGATTTCTTAACCTTTTGTCTTAATTTTACTTATCATTAAACTAACACACTTTGGTGAAGTCTTCTGTCCATTCCCTGCTACCAGATTATATATTCAGGCGTAATCCGGGGTTGGGGGTGGAGATAATGAAGCAACCATAAATCGAATGTTTCCTATATCTACACAGCTGTTTTTTTTAATCTCCAGTTGCTAAAAAAAAACAAAAACAAAAAACTCCAACTGCTATTTCAACCAGTTTATTTTCAGCAGCTTTCTGTCCCTCTTTCCTCCTGTCATCGGCCTTTTATCGCTGACTTTGCCTCCATACACTGTATGTTGGAAGGAGAAGATAAAAATGGGTATGGTTAGCACTCAGTTATTGTGGTAACTCTGCTGTTACAGCCTGAGATGGTATTAGATTCCTGAGAGCATCACTGTAGTACACAAAATAATTAGGAACTAACAAATGTGGGTGATAATTATATGAAATGATTAAAGACACGAGCTGTGGAGACAGATTAGCTGTGTGATTTGGGTGACTTAATCGCTCTAGCTTTATTTTTCTTATCTGAAATATTGTGATGATAGTAAATAGTTCCTGAGAGAGATTGTAAAGCAGGCTGAGATGTTACAAGTCATGCTTTTAGGAACAGTGCATAATAAATGCATAAAAAGCACTAAGTAAATGTTAGTTATTATTACTATTAATGAAATACAGTTAATGCCCCAAACATGAGATATATATTGTGAAATTCATAGGATAACGTATTTAACATCTGTGGATTTTCTCCAGTCCTTGGAGAGCAGCATCCGGAGAGATTTCCTGTTGTTCAGCAACAGGCTTTTAAGTGCTAAGGGTACTTTTAATTTTGATGGTATGTTTTTCAAATTGCTGTACTGTCAGAGTTCATAACTAGATGTCTGCAGTTTCAAGAGTTTTATGAACCCCCTGAATTTAAAAACATGTAAATATGTGTGTATTTTTTTCTGGGGAGGGAGAAGAGAGACAATTCCCTAAAGGGTTAGTGACTTCCCAAAAGAAGACCTGTGTTGTTTTGAACTCGTTGAAAAGCCCATCCAACTTTGGGAGTCTAATAGAGTGAATTGTTAAAATTTTGGTGTGGAAAAATTCCTAAAATCTACCAGTAGGACTCCATGAAAGGAATGAAATACCTTTTTTCTCATTTTTTTGGTTATGTAGCTCGAGTTACTTCTGTTAATTCATCATGCATGTTATGTATTAGCACCACTGTTTGCATGTCTGTGGTTCAGGAACAAATGCATCAAAGAGATCAGTGCCTTCTGTGTTAAATATTTTATTGCCAAGGACCAAGAATTTAATCAAAGGCATGTTATTTTCCAAATTTGAAATTTAGCAAGCAGAAAAAGGTCATTTAAAATTAAAATTATTTTCTTTGCTGCCATCTAGTGGTTAAACAACTTTTCTCAGAGTAACTGAAGGTGAGTTAAAATAGTGAAAGATTCATTGTAAACACTTGATTATTTTGTATTTTAGCTATAAAAAAACTATATCTTAGTAAATAGGAGAAACATAGGGATAACTATTAAATTATCTAAATCATGGTATTTTAAAGTAATGTGACTTTATTATCTTCCATATTTATCCTAATCCATATTACTCTCGATTTTTCAAGACTTCTGATTGCTTAGCTTACATCATCTCCTACCTCACTTTAATCATTTCTCTGCACTAAAGTTATGATGATCTCTTCAAAAAGTGAATCTTATGCTTCCTGCCCAGTTTAAAACCTTTTAGTTGAAAGTGCTCTTGGGATAAAGACCGAACTCCAAATAGATGATGAGGTCATGCAAAATTTGATGCCCACCTACTGCTTCTGCACCATCTAGCATTATGTTTGTCTTCTTTAGTCTTGATGACTCTCTTTCACTCCCTGTTACCACATTCATTCATACCTGTCCATGCACTTGCAGTTCCCTCTGCCTGGAGTGTGCTTCCCTCTCCTCTTCACAAAGTAATCCCAGTGAATTCTGAGCTGTTATCACTGCCCTAAAGAAGCCTTCCCGACTATAACACATTTCCCTGCTACCGTTGCTCATAGTAGCATATAACTTTATAGTTCTTATCTCATTTGAAATTTAAACTTTTTGATCTGATTATTTCATTGCTGTTTGTCTTTCCTGCCAGATTACAAGCTCCAAGAGGGTAGGAAACACATCGTTTTTATTTCCTGTGTCTTTGGTGTTCGATAAATGTTATTGCGTTGTTAATGAATGAATGTAAATGTCAGAAAATAGGCTAACAGTTTTGGATTATAGATATACTGGGGTAAGAGCTTACCTTAATCATTGTAATGGGAAAGAGTCTGTAGCCAACAAAATAAAATACAGGCGCTAGTTGCATTGGCCTCACTTAAATGAACCATATACGCTTGAAGTGTAAATAGATTCTTCCAAGACACAGGCTCTTTAGTCTCTTTAAGTAGTAGGCATTCACATTTATAGATAGTGTTTTGCTTTGGATACAATGTATTTCCACAATGAAAAAGGCTGAAGTGTGGGTATCCGGAGGCCTGGATTTGGGTAGATCCTTTGTGCTAGACAAGAGGGCTACATGGATAATTGGGTAGTCCTTATCAAGCATGCATGTTCTTTGCCTTTTATCACAATAATTTTAAGATCTAAAACTGTAAGTTCCAAATCAGAAGTATCTTATTTAGCCCTGTAGTGTTGCTGAAAAAAAATTATATACTGCTATTGATTGATGAAATTGATGTAATTTCTTAATTGGAAAGCTAATACCTAGTTTTTGTTTTCTTTTAATTAGAATTATCTTTGGATATTACTCACATTAATGAACACGTATAGAAGTAGATTTAGAGAATTCTTAACAAAAGTAGTTTTGATTTTTTAAAAAATTTTCCACAATTATTATTTTTATTGAGATGTAATTTACATACTATAAAATGTACCATTTTAGTGTACAGTTCACTGGTTTTTGTTATATTTTTTGATGTGCAGTCATCACCACTATCTGGTTCTAGAACATTTTCATCACCTCAAAAATAAACCTAAAACCCATTAGTAATCAGTCTCCATTCCCTCCACCTTTCAGTCCCTGCCCAATGATTTTTTTAAATTGAAATTTGCTTCTTTTTTTGCAGAATCCAAGAAAACAGGGGCCTGAAACCCAAGGCAGTACTGCAGAATTAATTACAGGGCTTGTGCAACTAGTCCCTCAGTCACATATGCCAGAGATTGCTCAGGAAGCAATGGAGGTAAGGGGAAAATGAATTCTAGGCTCTGGAAGGTAAGGTTGTAACTGTGAACATTCTTTTCTTTTTAAATTGTTTTTTCTATCCATTCCTTTAAAAATTTTTCTTTGATTTTTGTTTTATTAAAATTTTTTTAGTTTAATTTTTAAGAATTACTTTCCATTTACATTTATTATAAAATATTGTCTGTATTCCCCATGTTGTATAGTAGAGCCTATCTTACACCCAGTAGTTTGTGCCTCCCATTCTTCCACCCCTGTGTTGCTTCCCGCCCCCCATTGGTAACCATTAGTTTGTTCTCTATTTTGTGAGTCTGTTTCTTTCTGTTATCATCACTAGTTTGTTATATTTTTTAAATTCCACGTGTAAGTGATATCATACATATTTGTCTTTTTCTGTCTAACTTATTTCACTTAGCATAATGGCCTCTAGGTCCATCCATGTTACTACAAATGGCAAAAATTTTATTCTTTTTATGGCTGTATAGTATTCCATCACGTGTATGTATGTGTATATATATGCATACATATATATATATATATATATATATATACACACACACATCACATCTTCGTTATCTGTTCATCTGTTGATGGACACTTAAAGGTTTTTCAGATCTTGGCAATTGTAAATAATGCTGCTGTGAACATTGGGGTGTATGTATCTTTTCAGATTAGTGTTTTCATTTTTTTGGATATATACCCAGGAATGGAATTGCTGGGTCATATGGTTGTTCTGTTTTTAGTTTTTGCAAAACCTCCATACTGTTTTCCATAGTGGCTGTGCCAATTTACATTCCCACCAACAGTGTACAAAGGTTCCCTTTTCTCCATATCCTTGCCAGCATTTGTTATTTGTGTTCTTTTTGATGAGAGCTATTCTGACAGGTGTGAGGTGATATCTCATTGTAGCTTTGATTTACATTTCCCTGATGATTAGTGATGGTGAGCATCTTTTCTTGTGCCTGTTGACCACTTGTAGTTCTTCTTTGGAAAAATATCTATTCAGTTCTGCCCATTTTTCAATCAGATTGTTTGTTTTTTTGATGTTGAGTTGTAGAGCTGTTTATATATTTTGAACATTAGTCCCTTATTGGTCATACCATTTGCAAACATTTTCTCTTGTTTAGTAGGTTGTGTTTTCATTTTGTCAGTTTCATCATGTCAGTTACACTAGGCTGTCATAAAGTGATCATGCTATTGCTGCTTAATTATCAATGCATGAATTTTTATACTAGTAAACAAATATGAATTTTTCATATTCTCTTTTAACTTTTACCTCAGGTGTTAGTGATAACATCTACAGTGTTTTATGTCATAGAAGACAATATTGTAGATACTAACATATGGATGATTCATCTTGTAAATAGGACATAAACTTACAGTATTGATCAGTACAGTACTGTAAATGTATTTTCTTTATGATTTCTTAATAACATTTACTTTTTACTAGCTTACTTTATTGTAAGAATATAGTATGTAATACATATGACATACAAAATATGTGTTAATCAACTGTTTCAGTTATTGGTAAGGCTTCCAGGTAACAGTAGGCTATTAGTAGTTAAGTTTTTAGAGAGTAAAAAGTTATATGTGGACTTTCTACTGCATGAGGGGTCAGTGCCCCTAACATTGTTCAGGGATCAACTGTACTTTGTTTTCAGTAATATTCTGCTAGTAGGAATGTAAATTAGTACAGCCATGATTAAAAATTGTTTTGCAGTATCTGCAAAAGCTAAGCATATGACTTAGCCTCCACTGCTCAGTGTATATCCAGCAGAAATGCATATGTATATTTACCAAAAGAGACATACAGAAATATTAATAGTAGTATAATTTGTGATAACCCAGAAAGCTGCAAACAACTCAAATGTATCAACAGTAGAATAGGTAAGTGGTTTTGGATTTATGCCTTCCATTGATTACAATGTAAAAAGAACAAGCTACTGCTGAGTGCAAAGCATGGATGAATCTCACAGACATATTGAGTGAAAACAGCAAAACACAAAAGCAAACATGCTGTATAATTCCCTTTACATAAAGTTCATAAGGGCAGAAGTATCTATGGCTATAGAAGTCAGAAAGCAAATACTTTTGTCAAGGGGTAATGACTAGAAGAGAATGTGAAAAAAGCTTCTGGGTGTTGATAATGTTGATCTGGGTAATGGTTATATGAGGCATATACATTTGTGAAAATTCATTGAATTATGTATTTAAGACTTGCTGCTTTATTGTTTATTCTTCACTTTACCTAAAATGTTTCAACACTCATTGTTACACTCATTGCTTGTATCTGTGCTGTTGATCCTATAAAATAATAGATTCTTTGCATTCTTTTCGGAAGCCTATTTAATAATATGTGGCAGGAGGTTTGCAAATGTCTATTATTTTTTGTCCAAAGAATTCCATTCCTATAATTTTTTTTAATCCTGTGAATCCAGTTCTAAAGGAAAAAGCTGCACACATATATACTTATTACTCTTATTTGTAATAGAACATTAAGAGAATTTAAAATATTCACTAGTAAGAGAATGGGTTAATATTCAGTAACAAGAGAGTGATATTTCAATTTGGTGAACTGTTAAACATCCTTTGAACCATGCAGATCACACAGCAGTGTGAAAAAATATTTATGATATGTTACGTGAGTATACTGTGTTTACAACTTTGTTAAAACTTATATGGAAAATTTAGAAATGGAAAGGAAAACAGTCATATTCAGGCAGTAAAAAGATTAACATGTTTTCATAATTCAAAAAATGTTTTGTCAAACAAAAATATTAAATAGAGCATTCCCATTTAAAGTGTCAGTAAATTGTACTAAGTTTGTATACAGTATACAGTAGTGGCAAAATTGTTCATTTGTGTTGTTTTTCCTTAATATGAGAGGTATAAACTATGTAATTTTTTGGAGATTCTCACAGTGAATTTCAGTTTTCATTAAGTATCTCTAAGTAATTACAGTGAAAATACTTGAAATGAGATAATAAAAATAGGCTCTTTGTATAACTTAACAACTTTTGGAGTTATAAGAGTGTCCACGTTAGACATTTTCATATCTTTTCCTCATGTGAGACAGGTTATCATTGCAGCTATACTTGCAGTTTAAGCATGTGACTAAAAGAGAAGAAATCAGTTCTCATTATGTGTTCCAAACAGTGTTTCATTGGAGTTTTAATAAAAGACTTTAAAGAGGAGTAAAGAACATACAAATATGCTGACCAAGGACATAGAGGACTATACAGAGCTCAACAGTGTGTGTCTTGGGGAAGGATTATAGAACTGAAGTTAGGATAGGGCTAGTTTGAAGGAAGAGCCTAGTTTTATTCTTTATCCTTTTGATGGCTTTAATTTACATTTAATAGTAATGTTTTTGTATGTTAGTTGTTTATTCTTGTTTGTGTTCTATAAGCCAAATTCCAGTTTCAATTCTGTGGTCAATTTAAATGTTTTAGGATGAATAATCCTCTATGAAATGCAAAGTCTGTTTTCATCCCCTTCTCTCATTTTTGAAAAATAATTTATCCTTTTTGTTCCAAAGGAATTTGTGGCAAACAAGATAACTTCTACTTTATGTTGTGGCCTAGACATAAAATATTGTTGTGTGTATTAGTTTTAGAGAGCTCTCCTTACTTGGGAGTTAATTTTATTTCCTGTAGAGTTCTTTGATGCTTATTGAAATTATTTGGCTGGCCAATAGGCATATTAAAAAATGCACAATATCGCTAATTAGAGAAACGCAAATCAAAACTACAATGAGATATCACCTCACACCAGTCAGAATGACCATCATTCAAAAGTCCACAAATGATAAATGCTGGAAAGGGTGCGGAGAAAAGGGAACCCTTCTACACTGTTGGTGGGAATGTAGTTTGGTGCAATGGAAAACAAGATTCCTTAAAAAACTAAAAATAGACTTAACCATATGATCCAGCAATCACACTCCTGGACATATATCAGAGGAAACCTTAATTAAAAAATGTACATGCACCCCACTGTTCATAGCAGCACTATTTACAATAGCCAAGACATGAAAACAACCTAAATGTCCATTGACAGGTGACTGGATAAAGTAGTTGCAGTATATTTATACAGTGGAATACTACTTAGCCATAACAAAGAACAAAATAATTCCATTTGCAGCAACATGGATGGACCTGGAGATCGTCATTCTAAGTGAAGTAAGCCAGAAAGAGAAAGAAAAATGCCGTATAATATCACTCATATGTGGAATCTTAAAAAAAGACACAAATGGACTTATTTACAAAACAGACACAGCTGCACAGACATAGAAAATAAACTTATGGTTACCAGGTGGTGAAAGGGGGTGGGAAGGGATAAATTGGGAGTTCAAGATTTGCAGATACTAATTACTATATATAAAATGAATATACAAAAGGTTTCTTCTGTATAGCACAGGGAACTGTATTCAGTATCTTGTAGTAACCTATAATGAAAAAGCATATGAAAATGAATATATGTATGTGTATGCTGTACACCAGAAATTAACACAGCATTGTAAACTGACTATATACTTCAGTAAAGAAGGAAATTATTTCATTTGTGTCTTAAAGCAGTTTCTACATATATATTGCTATTCTGAATTCATTAGTCATTTGATTTTATGCATATATGCCATTTAAAGTAAGAACGATAGGAATAAAGTGATTTCATTCTATATGTGTATATATATGTATATTTTATGTATATATAAAATTCCCTCGAAATGTAGGTTCTTCAGAGTTTTTCTCTTTTGCCTTATACTGCATGATGAGACTACAATTAAATAGCTTGACTTGTTAGCATTTGTAAAACAAATATTCAAGTTTTAGATCTACCAAAGTTTTTTTGAGCAAGTCTTCTCTCTCCCTCTTTTTTTATTAAAATTCAGGCTCTGCTGGTTCTTCATCAGTTAGATAGCATTGATTTGTGGAATCCTGATGCTCCTGTAGAAACATTTTGGGAAATTAGGTATCTGCACTCTTATTTTTTAAATTCAATTTAAAATTGTATTTTGTATTTTTTGTCTTCACATATTAACTCTGTAGTACTTGGTTTATTGTAAGACTTTATTCAGTTACACCTCCAGAGGTTTTATGATTCTTTATTTTATTTGACTTGAAATTATTAGATTATTTCTTGCTTTAACTATAAGAACATTGTCACAGCAGTTTATAAAATAAATTTTTAAAAGTCGTGCTAAATTTTATTACCCAACCATAAGTACTATTATTTGGTATATTCTCTTCTCTTTCAGATTTTTATGTGGTCACAACTGTGTTTTAAATTCATTTTAAAGTTATAACCTTAGAGTTTTAAAACTTTATAACGTTAATAGTTTATGTTTTAAACTATGATCTGTCAAACATTTTTCATAATACTAGTGTTTTTGTTGGGTGAATTGATAGTGAATATCTTCTTAGAAGGCAAAAAAAATACAGAATTTTATAATTTATTTCCTTGATTTATTTAAATTACTAGCTTTCAGTGAGCACAAAGGTAACACATTGGGGAACATGTAAGTGTGTAAGCCTCAGGTTTTGTCATTATCATAGAAGTGTGTACACTAAGTCACTTGGCAGCTGAGTTAAAATCTAGATTCTAGAGCTGTGTTCTTTGATAGTGATGTAATGTGAATCACATACGTAAATAAAAATTTTCTAGCAGTCACATTAAAAAGCAAAAAGAATTAGGTAAAATTAATTTAATGTATTTTTAACTCTAAATATATCTAGATATTATTTCAACATATTATCAATATGAAAACTAAAAGATATTTTACATTATTTTTTTCATAAATTTATAAAAACTTGGTATGCTTCACACTAGAGAACCACATTTCAAATGCTCCGTATCCACATGTGGCTGGCTAGTGGCTCCTGTGTTGGAGAGTGCATCTGTAGAGTAGAAATAAGCACATAGTTTTTATCTAAAGGGCCAGGTTGTCTTTTTTATAACTATTTAATTCTGTTGGCATGTGAAGGTAGCTATGGACAGTATGTAAATAAATGAGTGGGGTGTGGCCATGTTCCAGTAAAACTTTATTTGCAAAAGCAAATGATGGACTGGGTTTGGCCTGCAGGCAGTTTGCAGACATCTGCTCTAGAGCCACTAGGTTTGCATACAGTCTGTGCTATGCACCTAATCTGTCATTTCTTCTTGAGTCCTCTGCAAGGATGAGATGCATGGATGAAACAATGGGGAGCTGGGAGAGTAGGAGGCCTAGAAATACTTCCTTTTTTAAAAAAACATAATCTGTATTCTTACTTCCTATGATTATCATAACTTTAACATTTTGATAATATTTCTCTAAAATAAGTGCTTGAAAGGAAAATAGCCTTCTCTAAACTTTGTCCATTATGAGAATGCCATTCTTTATGTACTGATTGTATCTGCATTAAGTTGTTTGTTGACAATGCTGGTAACAATGACCTTTATGTTTCTGCAGCTCACAAATGCTTTTTTACATCTGCAAGAAATTAACTAGCCATCAAATGCTTAGTAGCACAGAAATTCTGAAATGGTTGCGGGAAATCTTGATCTGCAGGAATAAATTTCTTCTTAAAAATAAGGTAAGCATATAACATCTTTCAAAATGGAAGGATATTTGTAATAATATAATGAGACAAGATTAGGGGAGTGTTTATTAGACAAATTAAGTCCTGATTCAGCTCCTCCCTCCTACAAAGTCTTCAGGGGAAATACATGTGCAGAAGACAATGGCTGACATATCAACACATTAAAAATTATTCTGAGGCTCTAGCCTTAAAGCCACAATCCTGATAAATTCTAGTTGAGTTAAGCAGGACTCTGGGAGAGTCCTAGGAGGAATGGGGGCTACTATATATAATCAAGGAAGATTGAGGAACATATTCTATCTCTCCCCTCAAATTTATACATAAGACTTGAATCTTGGCAGGGGGGGCATAGCTCAAGTGGTAGAGCGAATGCTTAGTGTGCACAAGGTCCTGGGTTCAATCCCCAGTGCCTCCATTTAAAAAATAATAATAAATAAACCTAATTACCTCCCCACCCCCCAAAATAGACTTGAATCTTGTAGCTAGGGTGGTCCAGAGAATGTTATCTATATTTATAAAGAAGCTGAAGGGAAGAGGTTGAGGGTCCTCAATCTAGGGGTTTTTTTTGTTTTGTTTTGTTTTTCTGCCTGAGAGCTTTCACCTCTTGCAAATATCAGGAGTCTTTTTCCTTAGGGTTGAGTAAAATGTTTTGATTCTGACCTATTGAAGCATGGTGACAGGATTTTAACATTTTTTATTGATTTATAATCATTTTACAATGTTGTGTCAAATTCCAGCGTTCAGCACAATTTTTCAGTCATACATGGACATATACACACTCATGGTCACATTTTTTTCTCTGTGAGCTACCATAACATTTTGTGTACATTTCCCTGATGGTGACAGAATTTTAGGGGAGAGAGTAGAGCCTTAAATTTCTTTTAACATAAAGTTTCTATAATTAGTTAATTAAAAAATTCTTTTATTATGGCATAGTTTTAGTACTATTTGATTCAATGAATTTTTATCCATTTCTAGAATGGGTAGAATCTATGAGAAATCTTAAATGTATCAAATGCATATGCTTTTCAGTGTATCATGCGGCTTATTAAATTTTTTTTTGTGTAGAAATGGGCTAATGGTGAGTTGGATTTATTCACTTCTGGCTTATCTTTGTGTTAATATAGTGGAATTTAGCATTACTCCAAAGGTAAGGAACAAGATTAGACTTAAGAGTTTCATGCCCTTGCCTGTGGTATAATTCTCCAGAATATAAGCATTAGTAATCCATTAATGAATCTGTTGTCCTCTGGTCAGTGAAGTCACTCTTATAACATACTTGGCATATATACCAGTGTCAATTACTGGTCCAGAGGAACTTAATCCCTGTAGAGTCAGCTTCCAATTATCCTGACATAACACAGGATATAAATCTTATGGGAGGAAATCTTTGTTATTTATAATTGACTGAGAGTTACATTATACTTCTCATATAATAGATTTATGTTGATGTTTTATTTGTGTTCATGTTAATTTGTATATCTAGAATCTGTTGATTCTGATGATTTGAAGAGTGGAAAGCTGAGAGGAATTTCAAAGACATTGAGCAAGTATTATTTGTACTATTGGATTTCTAGTGAGTGTTCCTCAAAATGAGGGTAGTAGGAGTTGGAAGGAGAGGTTTTCCAGGATAGTCTCAAACAGAAAGACAACTCGTATTAAGAATTTATTTCTCTTGGTTACCAGTGCTTTGAAAAGGCTTACTTACTTCTTCTTTCTAGCAGGCAGATAGAAGTTCCTGTCACTTTCTCTTCCTTTATGGAGTAGGATGTGATGTTCCTTCAAGTGGAAATACCAGTCAGATGTCCATGGATCATGAAGAGTTACTACGTACTTGTACTCCTGGAACCTCTCTCCGGAAAGGGAAAGGAAACTCATCCATGGTAAGGAGTTGCTTTTGTAGTTTTCTTGTATCATCATCTGTGCTCTGTATTTTTTTCAGAATGAACTTCAGTAATACAGCTTAGCAAAGATCTGCTTAGCTTTTAGTTCTATCACTGCTCTTTGTGGAACCTCAGGCAAGTTCCTAATATCTCTGATTCAGTTCCTCAGCTTTAAAGTGGGAATAATAATAATTTCTGCCCCAGAATTGTGAGGATTAAATGAGATTATGTGTAAACAGCAGTTGACCGTTTGACATTTAAAAGCTATAACTGAAGCTATAGTTATTATAAATCTCTATCCCATAAGAAAGATCACCCATACTCCCAGAAGTTTAAAAGTTCTATCAATTAAAAAAAAGTACTAATTTACTGGGAGAAAAAGCATTTTGCTTGATGTTATACATAAGTGTTTTCATGATTTGTGTGTGCTCAATTCTCTTTAAAAATGTCATAATGCAAGTGAAAATATCAAATCAGTACAGAAGAGTTTCTATTCCAGACCAAAGCTTTTTTTGTCCCTTTTTTAAAATATAATCTTCTCTTGAGGAAAAAAACAACTACTAAGCAGTGTGGTACTTACTATTGTCTACCTTACAAATGGAATTTGCATTCATTTTGCAAATGAGGATTTCTGTATTTTGTGTTTTGGGAATATGTTATCCAGAACCAAGTATATCTTCTAAGCAATGTTTAGTTTTTATTTGTGTCCTTATTTTTAGTCAGTATTGCTGTATAATTATTTTATTTCTTCCCCCTGAGTGGATAGAATTTCATGTTACTTCCTCATCCTGTGTCATTTATAATTGACTAAGAAGTGTGTTACATTTTTTTCATTGAGCTGATTTATGTTACGCATGTTTTATTTGTGTTCATATGAAACTTAATCTTCATTTCTGGAATGTAGAATAGGATAATACCTATTATGTTTGAAATTGGACAGATAGTAGTATTAGGTTGGTCTAAATAATCTGATTTCTCATTCAGATGAGGTATTTTGGAGTTTGAAAATTCTATCATGGTTAAAGGGGAAAGGTCTTGTGAGTTATTGTATGCAGACATATAGGGCACATAGTTTGTTTCATTATTGGGTTTTGTAGATAAAATTATGTAAGTTGCAAAGTTGCCCCCCACTCCTGACTTCCAGGATAGTGCAGCAGGGTGCAGTGGAACCCCACCAATATGCCGACAAGCCCAGACCAAACTAGAGGTGGCCCTGTACATGTTTCTGTGGAGCCCTGACACTGAAGCTGTTCTGGTTGCCATGTCCTGTTTTCGTCACCTCTGTGAGGAAGCGGATATCCGGTGTGGGGTGGATGAAGTATCAGTGCACAACTTCTTGCCCAACTATAACACATTCATGGAATTTGCCTCTGTCAGCAATATGATGTCAACAGGTAAATGTGGATAATGTTTTTTCACTCAGTCTGTCTTTAATCACATGACATCTGATTGCTTTAGGAATGTAGGAATATATTTAAGATCACTACTTTGTAAGTTTACAGGGCTAATTCAAATAGCCTACCTGAAATCCTTTTCTGCACAAGGTAAGGTGAAACTGAATAGCATTTGAAATAAGTTCTTAATTTCTCACTGAGTTTCTAATATGCTATATATTTGTTTAAAAGCTGGCAGTATAGATTGCTTTCAGTTATAGATTGTATAATTTACTCTGAACTGTATATAGTGGAGTTTCAAACACATTGATACATGTTTTGAGTAATTATAGGTGGGGAAAGCTATTTTAGGCTGTGGACATTGTGGAATCCAAGTTAAATACCCCTTTCCTGTGAGGCTGGTAAAAGAAAGTATTCAGCTTTGTCATTTGAAGTGAATGAATGAATCATTCCACTCCTCCTACTCAGCCTTTGGAGTTGGGCTTGCCAGGTTCCCCATTGACAAGTAGGGCTCTAAGTGAAGTAAGTTGATTTTCTGTTGTCCTTGCTTAGGAAGAGCAGCACTTCAGAAAAGAGTGATGGCACTACTACGGCGAATTGAGCATCCCACTGCGGGAAACACGGAGGTATGCCCTTAGCAACAGAATATCCTTTCTGGGCCCCCCACCCTCAGTTTTAGAAGCCTCATGATAAGTATATGTGACCAGGAATAGCTTTTGAAGCAAATCTAAGATACGTGCATATTACAAGAGGAATATTATACATACCAAATTTGAGACCTGTCTATTACTGATTGATTTTTAGCTCTGGGTTTAAAGTTGCTTTCAAGTGGTAATTTCCTTCATTTTAGGCTTGGGAAGATACACATGCAAAGTGGGAACAAGCTACAAAACTAATCCTCAACTACCCAAAAGCCAAAATGGAAGATGGCCAGGTGAGTTTGTAAAGTTGATTTTGTCTTGTTAATTGATCTGCTAAACATACGTACTTCACTTTAGTAGTCTTTTGTGAGTCACTCTTAGTATAGTAAGTGTGTAGTTGTCTTAAGACTGATACTTAGGTGTGGTTCACCTAAACCTGCACTGTCTAATATGGTAGCCACTAGCCATTAGTTGAATTAAAATTTAACTTAAATTAAAATTAAATATGATTAAAAATTCAGTTTCTCTGTCATACAATAGCCACACATGGAAATTGAATACTATATTGGACAGCACTGATATAAAATGTTTCCATCATTGTGGAAATACTGGATAGCACTGAGCTAGAGATGATTTATGGTAGAGACCATTCCTTTCACCTCTTTTCTTTCTTTCTCCATCAGTATTTCATAGAATTTTCAGGAAAGAGATAACAAAGGTAGAGAAAAATAAATTAAAATTGAAACAATACATTTTACTATTTGACTAGGTATTCTAATTCCAGAAGATTGAACCCATAGGTTAAATGAAATTTTTAAGTTTGGACGTTTCATTCATCAACTATTATCATCTGTTACCCTCAAAATTTAACAGTTAGTTGATCTTTGTGTACATTTGATTTGTAATGGCCATTTTGCTGTTATTATTAGATGTTTTAGAAAAACTCATTAGTCCCCCATTGTTATTTTCTTGTCATGCTTAAATTAGAACAAGAAAAAAAATGTTATGTTTTTGTGAAGCAAAAATTTGTACCCAGTATCATTATTTGGAGGGGGAACATGTGTCTTTAGAATGAAACCTTCTTTTTGGTAACTTTTATTGAGATATATTCACATACTCTACAATTCATCTGTTTAAAGTGTATGATTCAGTGGTTTTTAGTATATTCACAGAATTGTGCAACCATCACCACAATTTAATAAAAACCTATACCCTTTAGCTATCATTCCCTAACCTTCCCCCTTCCCCCTATCCCCAGCCCCCAGCCCTCAGCAACCACTAATCTACTTTCTGTCTCAGTAGACTTGCCTGTTCTGGACATTTCACATAAATGGAATCATGCAATATATGATCTTTAGTGACTGGTTCCTTTCACTTAGCATAATGTTTGCAAGGTTAATTTATGTGAAACAAAGCATTTTTAAAAACACTTGATATTCTGGATTGATTATAGTAGTCTATGACAAAAATATGTTAGTGGCTCTTTAAAAATGTATATGATAATCTTATGTTTGGATTTATTACTTTAAACTGATTTTTGCATTTTTCACATTTTTTTAAATTGAAACATAACATTTATACAAAAATATGTGTAAATCGAAGTGATAGTGCAGAATATTAGGAAGTGAACATACCTGCAACCAGCACATCAAGAAAAAAAAACCTGTTTTTTCTCAATACATCTTTAAAGATTTTTAAATTGTTTCATATCTGGTCAACTTGAGATTTTTAAGAACCTCATTTTTAATTTGTAATAAAAGTTTACAGCTTGATTTTTTTTAAAAAAAAAAAAAGGTCAACAAACTGCAAGCACTTATTAATAAAGGTCTTAGATAAAAAAAAAAAGAAAGAAATCATTATCAGCATCCCAGAAGCCGTCATTGTGCCCCTTCCAGTCACTAATGACCAAGAGTAACCATTATGCTAACTAAATACAGTTATTTTCCTGTTTATAAACTTATGTAAGTGGAGTAATAGAAATACACTGTGGTATCTGACTTCTCTCACTCAATATAATGTTTGTGGGGTTCAGCCACAGTATTGCTTGTAGTTATAGTTCATCCACTGTTACTGCAATGTATTATTTCATTTAACAGTCCACAATTTAATTTTCCTTTCTCTTCTTTTTTCGCATTGGATGGCTATACAAAGACTATTTAGTTATTGCTGCTATGAGTATTCTTGACTGTGTCTTTTGCTGACCTTCTGGATGTATTTCTGTAAGGCACGCAGTTAGCATTGAATTAGAATTACTGGGTCACAGGGTATGCAGATACACGTATAGGGGAATATAAGTGGATACAATCACATAAAAAAACTGTTCAGTAGTTTCACAAAGACTTTTAAAAGACAACTAACATTTTTATATGAACTGCTATAATACCCATATAAATGGTGAAATATTATCCAACCATTAAAAGCATTCTTATTAAAGAATACATACCCAAATGAGGCAGTTAATCCACTAACAGGGGTTTATTAGTGGTTTCTTATACCTGCATGAACAAGCAATTTTGCTATTGTGATTGTTCAAAATTATAACCCTTTAAAGACTAAAAGTAAGAAATAAATATTGTACATACTTTTCTAATTCAGTTAGATGAAAAATATTTTGAAGTACTTAAATATTCAATAAAATTAAACATTTATATCAGGCCTGGACAGAGGTAAACTGAAAACATATAATATAATGTAATATAATGTAGTATATTCAATTAATAACTGAATTCACTATGTCAAAGAATGGAACAATATTATCAAAGCAGAATAAGACAAAGGAAACCTGAAATTGTACCAGTGGAATAGAACTGAAAATCATGCAACTTGTAGTAATCATTTGAGCCCTAATAAGAAGTGTATAAATATACAGCAGAATTCAGACTGAAGAAAAAACACTAACTTAATTCTGCATGCACTATGTAAGTTAAGAAACAAAAGATCCCCTAGGTGGAAAAACAATGCCGTTATCATAATGTTTATATTTCAGGTTCAGTTTAACTTCGTTTATTTAGCTTCTTTTATATATAATATGACACAGTTTAAGAACATTGAATTGTAATTTGAAAACAGAATAATCACCACTATGTTACCAGGGTCAAGAGGAAAATAAGGATTATTATCATTCCTTTGTTTCTGCTGGAGGGGATCTAATCAAGGGAAATGCTGAAAAAAGCAAGACAGTGATAAAATATGAACCCTGTTAGGGAAAAGTCTTTAAACCTAATATGAAAACCATAATTATTAAAAAATAGGTTGGTAATGGTATATTAAATGCTATGAATTTACCATACCTAGTTGATAAGAATATACAAAATGAACTTTGACTACTGCATAAAATTTTTTTAAATTCCTATTTACCTGTTGTTTCCTAAATTTTCAAGTCATCTTTCAATGAGTCTCATTCAGGTCTATCCCTGTAAACCAACATGTTAAGGAACAGAGAAATTTCTCTGCTTCATTTATTGATCCTTCAAAAAGATAACTGCATCATCATCTTGGACTATATCCCACAACAAGGTTTTTCCTTTCTTCCAAACAGTATCCAAGTTAAATGTCTTTCACAGAATTACTGTTGAGTTGATGTTTATGAATTGTAGGTCCTTGACTAAGATGTTCATGGTAAACAGATGCTAAATTGGCAAGATGTTGTTAGAGATGAGATGTTAGCTCTCCATATGAATTAATCTGGCCTAGATCCTCATCACACCGAGCTTCTTCACTATCAAAATCAGCCTTTTTTTTTTTCTCCTGATTTTGCACTGACCTGGGAGCTACTACAGCTGACACCTTCTGCACTATGTTTACCATCAGTCATATCCCTGTTGTGATGGTGATGATGTGGTGATGGTGTTAGTGGTGCTGAATGTAATGATGCTAAACAGCCAACGAGCAAATAATTCATTTCCAGTAGTCCCAAGAAAGTCCCCCGTGCATGTAGTACTACAAGATTTCTGAGATATTTGTGTTTATATGAGCAGCATTCATTTCCTCTCACATATGTTCTGTGTCTTCAGAGTGTGAACAGGCATCTAACATTTGTATTCGATTATCTACTAATAGCATTGACTCAGTGTTGAAAACCATGTCCTTTCCTGTTCCGTTGCTTGCTGATAGGCCTTGGGAATCCTCTAAGCAAATGCCTGCTTGACTTTCTAACTTTCTAGTCTGAATATCTGTACCACAGCTACTTGTAGGAGGATTATGACCATCATCACTTTCATCTTCTTTAAGGGCTTCAAATCTGCAATGTCTTCTGACTGTACCTCACTGCCAGGGCTCCCAGCTGACGGGCTTACATTACTAGAATTCACCTCATTGCTAGATCTATCACTGTGCCCACTCTTGCTACCAGGATGACTGCTTGCATCTTCACTACTGTTGGCAGTTTTGTTAGAACTTCCTTGCATGAATTTCTTTGTGTCTGAAAGTTGCTGTTGCATATGGTTGGTTCTGTGTATAATTTGCTCATCCATTTCAACATCACTGCCTCCAGTTTGGTGGGTTTTACTGTTAACACTGCTTTGAGGACTAATGGCAGGTGACCAAGGTGATGAAGTGGGTCTTCTGAGCTCTTCTTCCTCTTATTTTCAATGGGAAGTATTTAATAAAGATGCGGAAGAACTCTGTTTAGATAGCTGAGCCTTTGCTGCTAGTACATTATTCCATAATGCTTTAATTAACATCAATGCCTTGTACAATGTCTGTTCAGTTTGAACACTTGGCTCAAGAGCTGAAACCAGGTTAAGGAGATGTCTGTGTGGTACTGGATCCAAATTCTTAATGCATAAAGAAAGTAAGTAATGTATAGACCAACTACAGTGTTTCAGCTGTGCTGCAGCCCAAATGTAGTAATGTGCTAAGTACTCAGTCATCCTTCCACTGCTAAAAAATTCAGAATCACTTGACAAATGTTTGATAATCTCAGTGAGTAAGTTTGGTCCATATATATGCTCTACTATATTGCTGCTTCTAAGCCAGTCTGCAAGTCATCCTGCAATGAAGTTTCTGTGTTTGATACCAGTGATTCATTATTGCATACATTGTTGAAGGTGTGGAGTTGATTCATTATCTGACTTAGCCCCCAACTAACCTCTTCATCAAAGTAGGTCACATGAAGGACTTAAATGCAAGATCTAGGTTTATGTATCGAAGTGTCATATATCCAGTGTTTCTCTCACTGTGCTCACGTTATCTGTGTCATCAGCCGTACTCTGTCTTAAGTTCTAATCAGAGAACTTGCATAAATATCTGGTAATATAGGTCCTGAAAGGGCTGATATTGCTGCATGATGGCAGAGATATAGCCATATTCTAATATTAGATAAAACTACAGTAAATCCATGTGCTATAAATGGCAGAGTTTTAGGAGTTCCATATTCAAAAAATCCATGACAGGCCATTTTTCCCACAAAACATACATAATGAAGCAAATGCAGTGGTACTTCTACATCATTCATATCACAGAATGTCCCTAATAGGTTGCTTTCTTAGGTTAACATCCTCTGTAGTAAGATGAGTATTATGCTTATAAGCAGTATGTAACAGAAATTGGATTAAAAAAATTTTTGCCACACATAGTATGAGTTTTTCTTTCTCATCTCTATTCCATAAACTTAAAAGGATCAGAACTCCTAGAAGATTCCTCTTCTGTCAGATTACAGATTTTTGTGGAGTATGAGTTTTTTTTTCCTATTGAGTTTTGTCTGTCTGTACTCCTTCATTCCACTCTTCTACATTCAGTGGTTCTTCTGTTTAGTTAGTCTCATCTTGCCACGTGGAATCTATATTAATAGTAGTACAATGTTTACAAAGCTGGTCCTGGAGCATGTGACCTTGGGCAGGCACTAAGTTAGTAAGTTCACATACTACTTGGTTAAAATCTCCAAATGCTTATAGTCCTTAAAGCAGCACAGATACTACCTCTGTGTCCAGGAATCAATATAAGCAAATATTCTGAGAGTATGTTCCTTTCTGAGCCACAGTCCATCACCACCTTCTATATCTGATACTGGATCTGTGTTTATCACTACCCTCATTTCTGTACGTTAAGACTTACTATACTCAAGCAGTATGACAACCTTGATGTGACTAGAAATGGCAAAGTGAAGACTTGGATTTTTTAAATGTAAAAAATGTTTTTTTTGTCATGGTAGTAATGTTGTATAAAATGTAATTTGTCAGATCTCTCAACCAATTTAGGTTGAATTCATGCTTTCCATAAAACTTTTGTGTTTAGGCTGCTGAAAGCCTTCACAAGACCATTGTTAAGAGGCGAATGTCTCATGTGAGTGGAGGAGGATCCATAGATTTGTCTGACACAGACTCCCTGCAAGAATGGATCAACATGACTGGCTTCCTTTGTGCCCTTGGGGGAGTGTGCCTGCAGCAGAGAAGCAATTCTGGCCTGGCAACCTATAGCCCACCCATGGGCCCAGTCAGTGAACGCAAGGGTTCCATGATTTCAGTGATGTCCTCAGAGGGAAACGCAGATACACCTGTCAGCAAATTTATGGATCGGCTGCTATCCTTAATGGTCTGTAACCATGAGAAAGTGGGACTTCAGATACGGACTAATGTTAAGGATCTGGTGGGTCTAGAACTGAGTCCTGCTCTTTATCCAATGCTCTTCAATAAGTTGAAGAATACCATCAGCAAGTTTTTTGACTCCCAAGGACAGGTAAAGTGTTCTCTGCTTTATTTTTCACCTTTCCCTATGAATAGAGTGACTCGTTTGAAATAATGAAGCTTTTTTTCTTTTAGATTATTTAATTTAGATACTGGCATGAACTTTCACTTACAATTTAAAAAAATAGGACAAAAAATTGCAGAAAGAAGAATCATCTAATGTAGGAATCAGTTTGCTTTTTAGGGACTCTAGGGCATAGATGTGTCTGGGGTTATCAGTGTTTTGAGTATGGGTATGAGTGTCTATGTGAATCTTTGTAACTGTTTGGATATATGCCTGTGGGTGCATTTCTGCAAGTGTATGACATTTAGATCAGACAGCTTCATCTCTCTGTGGTCTGTCTGCTGTGTATTGATTCCCCAGATGTGTTTTGTCGTCTGTATAGGTTTTATTGACTGACACCAATACTCAATTTGTGGAGCAAACCATAGCTATAATGAAGAACTTACTAGATAATCATACTGAAGGCAGCTCTGAACATCTGGGGCAAGCTAGCATTGAAACAATGATGTTAAATCTGGTCAGGTAAGCATTCTACTGAAGTGTAGCAGGCACACATTGATAATTGGTAGTTAGTAGTAAGATAATTTGCCATCCTTTTTTTTGTTGTTGCACCCAAATTAGGATGTGACAGTAGGGTAACTAGAAGTTATGTATGTTCTCATATAAGCAAATGGAAATCTTATAGCTTTTATGGTTACATTTTATCATTTTACTTAGAGATTAAAGCATTTAGAAAACCTTCTCTTTTGTTTATATCTGATAATTTTTTTTTAATGTTTCTGTGTCTAAATAGGTATGTTCGTGTGCTTGGGAATATGGTCCATGCAATTCAAATAAAAACGAAACTGTGTCAGTTAGTTGAGGTAATGATGGCAAGGAGAGACGACCTCTCATTTTGTCAAGAGATGAAATTTAGGTGAGTTCTCAAGAGAGCAAAGTAGGGTCTTGTAAATCTTATATAGTGAAGGGCAGAAAAATAGTAGGCACATGGTTATCATGGGAAGCGGGGAGGGTGGAAAAGGAGCATTTTATATGCTTTTGTCTTCATGTCTTTTCAACTTTCCCAAAGCTTTGTGCCCATGATAGTGTTACCCCTTTTCCTCAGGTTATACTACACTTGAGCAAAGAATTTGACTCTGTTTCCAAATGGATACCATTGCTAAGGGCTAATGTGGTCGATCCATATCAAGTTGCCCTTCTTTGTGCCCAAGTTTGTGCCCTTCTCACTGTTAGCTTTGTGATAGCAATATCTCTTTTATGAAATTGTCATGTTGCCTGGGTGATTTGGCAAATTACTTGCACTTTTAAAAATTCTTATTTGACGAAAATGTGTGACTTTAAAAAAATTGTTTGCTATTTTCCTTTTCTCTGCCATTCTGTAGGAATAAGATGGTAGAATACCTGACAGACTGGGTTATGGGAACATCAAACCAAGCGGCAGATGACGATGTGAAATGTCTTACGAGGTAAAAAAAAAAAAGAGAGAGACCTTTAGGTATTAGCAGATTTACTCTAGACATTAGTACTGCTTCATTATAGTTTTTACATACGTATTTTATGTGATTGAAATTTTGGGGGGATCTCAAACTTTTGCATTTGAATTATATAAAGATACTAATCTTATTTCTTTTTAACTGAAAGACTTTCAGTAAAAACAAATATGAAAGAGTGTTATGTTTAGAAAGTTTGTGTGTCTGTTTAGGAAAGATTGCTGGAAAATAAGGTATATAAAGCCTTAGGTTGTATTTATTTTTTGATTGGGTAGATAGATATTATTTGAGGAACTTAATTGTTTTGAGTCTTTCTAAAAAGTAATTGCTTAAATTTGCTCTAATGATAAATACTTATTGTCACATACCAGAAATATTTAAACATTATAAATTACATAATAACCATTCACATATATTTCTTTGACCAGGCTTGCTTCCATAGTACATGCTTTTAATTTAAGGTAGTCATTTTGCCAAGATTACTGTGTAGAAAGTTATTATTTCCCTCTCCCCAACTTGAAATGTCTTTGCATTCTGGGCTCTGCATATTAACACAAATTATTTAGATTGTCATAGTAATTTGTTTAATGAAATAGGTGGTTCTTAAACTTTGTGTCTGTTAGGAAGAAGTTTATTTGAGGGGAAGGTGGAATTGAAGAACTTGAAAGACTTGTGGACTTTACATTTTATTTTCTTCAGAGATTTGGACCAGGCAAGCATGGAAGCAGTAGTTTCACTCCTGGCTGGTCTTCCGCTGCAGCCTGAGGAAGGAGATGGTGTGGAACTGATGGAAGCCAAATCACAGTTATTTCTTAAGTAAGTTTCAGTCACCAAAAAGAAAGCAAAAAACAAAGCCTCACATACAACAAAACAAAGTGTAACTCAAGTGGCAAATTATAATATTTAGAAAATTGACCTCACTGCTTTGTTGTTACTGTGGCCATCAGCTGCTGCCTCACAAAATATAGCACATGCATGAAGCAGTGTTCCCTATGATAAGGTTGGTATAGGAAAACAACTGTGTTTTGTAGTTTTTAAAGAAAATCATTTGATCAGTGAATTTTTATTGGCATTTAACCCAGATCACCTCATTAGGTCACTTAAAATGGCATTGTCTAAACTATTTGGACCACTAATTTTATATTCTAAACATTAAAAGTGATGCATTTACCAGGAAATCAATGCATCTATTTGTTTCTTTTGTTATGAAGTATGTACTGGGCTTTGTCAGGATAAAATCTTACTCAACACAGGGCACCTCACAATGAGCCACATGGGCTGATTACGCAAAGACTGGAGAGAAGCAGATACCCAGGGCCACTCATGTGATGCGTATATGATGATTTCAGAATGTCTGATTAGCTTTTTGGTTGGTGTAGCTTTTACTGGATAAGGGTTAGTCTTTTTATTTTTCAGGTATTTCACATTGTTTATGAACCTTTTGAATGACTGTAGTGAAGTTGAAGATGAAAACGCACAAACAGGTGGCAGGAAACGTGGCATGTCTCGGAGGCTGGCATCACTGAGGCACTGTACAGTCCTGGCAATGTCAAACTTGCTCAATGCTAACGTGGACAGTGGCCTCATGCACTCCATAGGTGAGATAAAATGAAACCTTCATATAGAAGAAATTTAGAACCTGGAGAATTGGCATGTAAGACAAGTGAAATTACTTCAGGACTGTGTTAGTAAATTTGCATCTATCTGTCCATATCAGGTTTAGGTTATCACAAAGATCTGCAGACAAGAGCTACGTTTATGGAAGTGCTGACAAAAATCCTCCAACAAGGCACAGAATTTGACACACTTGCAGAGACGGTGTTGGCAGATCGTTTTGAGAGACTGGTGGAGTTGGTCACGATGATGGGTGATCAGGGAGAGCTCCCTATAGCTATGGCTCTAGCCAATGTGGTCCCTTGTTCTCAGTGGGTAAGTTCATTGAGTAAGAGAAGAACAGTGCCTGGCACATAGCAGATGCTTCAAAATTCATTCATTCAATGAATGTTTATTGAATTAATTGTTAAAACTTTTATAGCTGGAAGGAACTTCAGATAATATGAGTGGTTTTCAGCTACGGAAAGTGATTGGTGCTTCTAGTCCTCACCAGATTTCTTAAGTATGAGGATCTTATTTCTCATATTTAAAAGTCAAACTCCTTACCTGCCCCACTGAAAAATTCCACTTGAACACTCATCAAAAGAAAATTAAAACCACTGATCTGGTCTAATGTCTTCATATTTTAAGTGAGATAATTAGGGTTAAATCTCATAATTAGTTGTTAGTAATGATAGAACTAGAATTCAGGGCTTGTGCCTGTTCACTACCTGTAGTTCACAACTCTTTTTTTCCTGTAGTGAATTGTACAATTAAAAAAATTTTACTTACTCCTATTTGAACTTGAAATTATAACACTGCTTATTTTAAATACCGAAGACATAATAATGGCTTTTTGGCATCCCTTAATAAAAAAAAATTCCCAAGACTGTATCATTCTTGACAACATATGCTGAACGTTTGACAAGGGCTGTCCTTTTCCATGTTTTAAAATAAAATAAAAGCTGTTGATTTTATACTGTACCCAAAGTGATTTCAGTTTAGTAAATTGTATCTGATAAGGTAATCTAGTTGTTTCCTGTAGATGTGCTTCTGCTTAAAAGCTGTGGCTCTTATTCCTCATACTTAAAGTGAGACTCAAGCTCTCTATCCTGGTCTACATGGCTTTACCCACCCTGGGCCCTGCCTTATCTCTGACATCATCTTATGCCATTTTCTTTCTTGTTCAACAAACTTAAACCACACTAGCCATCAAACACGTTAGGCTTATTTCTACGCTTTTTGCTGCTGCTGCTGCCTGGAATGCTTCTTCCCTGATCTCTTGTTATTCAAGTTTCAGATCAGAAGTCACTTTCTTAGTGAGATCTTCTCTGTCCACACAATCAAAACCGTGTCCCCAGGTCATTCTGTCGCATTCCTTATTGTATTTTTGTAGCATTTATTTACTGTGTGAAATTGTCTTGTTCGTTTAATTGCTGTTCTCCTTCCACCACATTGTGAGCTACGTGAGAGCAGAGACTGTGTTTGTCTTGTTTACTGCTGTAGTTCCAGGTCCTGGAGTGGAGCCTGGCATATAACAAGGACTCAGAAAACAATTGCTTAATTAATGAAGATGGAATCTTGCTTGTAGCCAAGGAATTAGAAAAAGGAAATTATTGTTAAAGCTTAACGTTGGTTCACAAATCTTCCTATGTTTTGAAAATGGATATTGTGAATTACCTTTTAGCACCTGCCTGTGATTAGTCAGCACTAAAAATTATCAGTATTTTTTAATAAAGCATCAATTTAGTTCAAGAAACTTCCATCATTTTTTTCTTTCAGTAAATCATTTCTTAGGAGTTTCATATTAAATGACTTTCTTTGAGAAAGAGTTTTACATTAGGGTACATCCATTAGAGCTATATCTGAAGGAGAACAAGATACAAGATAACTTTAAAACAGTTCTATTTTATAAGTTTTAAATTCTGGTGCTTTAAGTTTTCCGAATTTTGCAGGGAAGGGATTAGAGTGGAAAAAACATTTAGCACAGCAGTCTAAAAATAGTATTATTTTGTATCTGAATTATCTCTTGTAATTATACTTGGCTTTAAAATAGAGGATAGACTTTTTATATCTAGTCAATTATGTATTATATATAACTATAAGGAATGCAGCAGAATTTTGGATCTTTGGTTTCTAGAGTATCTGTGGTTAGGATTGTTAAATTTTCTCCTTTACTTAAATAACAGATTATAATCATCCTGGGACCAAGCAAGAACTAGAGGAGCTGTGGACCTGACCCTGACTTTGTTGTCTCTGATTGAGGTTCAGGGCATCTTTTTATGGCTGCCCCCATTCTCACTAAACCTCTTCCCAACATGTGTGGTTAAATAATGATTTACTCTCACATTCATTTTTTTTTGAGTGTACCAAAAAATACTTTCTTGTGGGGAATTACGAGGGTTGTCATTTAGGTACTAGATGGTAATTATCCACCCACCCCCACTTTGTACGTTCATCTTGCTGATCTCTTGGTTGTAAATGCACAACTCGAGTCTTTTTTCCTGACTTCCTGCAAATCCTGTAGTTTTTCCATTTTTGCTGTTTCTTGCCTAGCCCGTGTTCAGTGTTCGCCAAGTTTCCCTGACCTTATGAGGAGAGAGTAGATCTGTTATGGTCACCGAGTCTTATTCCATCTCACTGAATTTCTAAGAAAATTATTTGTGCGTATCAAATTCTTTGCCATCATCTTCTATTTCTTCTTTCTTTCATTTTGTCACATAATTTGAGCTGAATTGTCAATTTTTTTTCTGTCTTCTGATAACGCCTTGCCTCTTTTACTTTTTTTCATTTAATCCTCAGAATTAGTAGCTACTATAGATACACAGAAATAGTCATCTATCGTAGACAAGTGTCTACAGATAAATTCCAGGGGAAAACTTAATCAGTTACCACATACCTTGATTCTGCAGATTTGCCTTTGGATTTGCCTTTCAGTTTCCTGCTTAAGGAAAAATGGGGTTGTTCACACTAACAATCTTGTTTTGTTCTCAGGATGAACTAGCTCGAGTTCTAGTGACTCTGTTTGACTCTCGGCATTTACTCTACCAACTGCTCTGGAACATGTTTTCTAAGGAAGTAGAATTGGCAGACTCTATGCAGACTCTTTTCCGAGGCAACAGCTTAGCCAGTAAAATAATGACCTTCTGTTTCAAGGTTTGTATCATTTATCATTTTTTGTGCATGGAGGTATGCCAAACAGTGACTGTGTACAGAATGTACAATAAAATATCTTCTTTAGTGCAGGATATTTGGGGCAGGCATAATAAATTCCTACTTGTGTATTTCTGTAGGTATATGGTGCTACCTACCTACAAAAACTCCTGGATCCTTTATTACGCATTGTGATCACATCTTCTGATTGGCAACATGTTAGCTTTGAAGTGGATCCTACCAGGTTTGTCATCCTGTCATCTGCAACTGCTGTCCATTTTTTCACTATCAGTGCATGAGGCAAGGCCCTCATAATTTCTCTCCTTGATTCTTAAAATTAGTCTTTAATTATAAAAGTTACACACAAATACATTTTTCGTAAAGGAAATTACAAATAACATAAAAGATGTCTTTGACTGTCACGTCTAGAGACATGGTGCTTTTACTAGTTGGGCTGTTCTGTCCTTTTTCTGTGTTATTTGCATATACATATTTCTAGTGTATATTATAATGTGAGCACTTAATATAAATGGTAACATATTGCATACTTGGTTTTGCAACTTGATTTTTTTGACATAACCCTGTGTCTTAGACCTTTCTTTGTCAGTATAGAAAGATGAATCTCAGTCTTTTTCACTGCTGCATAATATTTCATGGTTCGGCAATGTCATAATTTATGTAGCCAATACCATATCAATCCCATTGACTTTTCCAGTAACTTTCTAATTATTGTCCCAGCATTATCTTGTTATTTGCAGGTCACTTTCAGTAGGAATTATTCTGAAACCTAGGTCTTTTTGTTACTTTCTTTCTTAGAAACCATCAGTTGTTCCCCATTGACTACAAGAAAAAATACAGTGTCATCTGACTATAATCCACCATCACCTCTTGTCATTCTTTCATGTGATCACTATACTTTAGCTCCAGTGAAATATGCACATGTTATACATTTTTAAAGTGGCTTGACACATGGGATTTGTTTGGATTGGAGTTGCCTAATAAGTAATTCCTTTTCCCTGCCCAAGTTCAAAACCAAAAGGGCAGAGGGAGGAGAGATGGGAAGAAAGTACCCAGGAATCAACTATCACCTTTATTTCTGATCAAAATGATCAGAGAGAATGGGCTTTAGATCCTGTGGGCATACAGACTTGCTAATATTTCACCTTAAATTATAATCATCTACCCCACCCCTTGCGTGGCTAGATAACTACAGGCTTCTGTCATGGGGGCTGCCAAGCCTTTCCTCACACAAGTGGAGAGCAGATCAGAATGTGTCTTTTCTACAGGCCGATGTATCTAGAATGAGGAGGATGGCACTGAACTGAGCATGCTTGACTCTGTTTTTTAAAAATCTGTTTCACTCTTTCTCCTATAATGAGAAGTGACTTGGAAGAGAAAGAGGCCTAGGTGTGATGCAAGGTGCAGTTTAAAAACTACCATCTCCATGAAACTTTCTGCCCAACCCTGATTCCGTCCATATACACATACTACACATGAGCAAAGAAGTATTCTGTGCTCAGCATCATCACTGTAATGTTTAATTGTGATGCTGTAGTTTATGAATTTATCTCCCCCTCTAGACTGTTGGCTCTTTTACATTTTATACATCTTTATATCCTTCTGTGAGTATTTAGAATGGTATCTGCAATATAGTTATCATTTCATAAATATTTGTTGAATGAAATTTTAAACAATTATGTTATGCTTGTTTTTTTCCAAGCCACGTCTCTTGTCTTTCAGTTAGGACTTTAACGTTGTCTTATTTTTTATTTTCAAGTTCAGAACTTCTTGATGGTTGCTCTTCCTAAATAATTTTATTTGGCAGCTTCATATCAGTTGATATTTTGGGCTCTGCTTATGCTGAAGTATCAACTGTAACATCTAATCAGAACTCTGGCACTAAATTAACTGATTACTATTAAAATAAATAGTTGTAGTTTAAAACTTAAAAGCAGTATTCTTTTAATGCCACTTGTTTTATGTCACCATTAAGCAATTTCACTTTCTAAAGGTAAAAAAATTACTTAGTGAGAGTGTGAATTAACTGCCTGTAAGAAATCTACTGCACTAAGGGCTCTGATGCACAGAGGAGAGCTAGGTGACAAACATCCTATATTTAGGTTACTTGAAATCAAACAGGTCTTCTCTCATACGTAAAGAGCTTGAAAGTTGACACTCCCACATTCACAAGAAAAGCTGAAAACAAAATCAGCAGTTTGTCTTAGATTCATCAGAGAATTGAAGGGCAACCCCCCCCACTACCCCCTGCCCCCCCTCCCCCCAAAAAGAGAAAACTGGAGACACAGGCAAATGCAGAGAATCCCAGCTTACTGGGAGAAGCTGCTGTTGGAGTCAGTAACTGGTAGGTACACTTAAACTGTAATTGATGAATTGCTGGAAGTTGAGTATGGATTAGCTTGAGAATTCAAACTTTTGAGGACCTTGTGTCAGAGGGACCCCCACACTTTTGTCAGTTTGAATTCTAGAGCCCCTGCCAGGTTCTCATGGTGAAGATGGGAGAAAAAAATCCCCTTGTGCTCTGGGCAGGGGAAGGGGAAAAGTAACCATTTTGGAATATGCCCATAGTGTTCTTTTCTCCCTTACAAAGGCCTGCTGTCAAGGGAAGCTACCAGAGCCTTATCCGACCTGGAGGGTGGGCAGTTACCCAGCTTCAGCCTTCTCTAGCTTTCTTGACTCACATAAGGGGAGGAAGAAGGCTAAGAAATTCTTCTGAAGGTCACAGCCCAGGGATTCTGGCCCAATAAAACAATAGAGATATAAGTGTAAGATTATAGACTGCTTCCCTTCCCCAGTACCTTGCTACTTACACACCAACAGGACTCCAATGTATTAACAGTGGGTTACAATAGAGAGCTTCAGCACAGAGACTTTATTTAAGAGGAAATTGCTTGGGAAACCCAGACAATTAGGTAGACAAAAACAAGGACACTGGAGGAAATTGACACCTACAACTACAGCAAGCATCAAACACAACTTCAGTCCTAGCCAGGTTAACATAAAACCTTACACTAAAGATTGGTTTATTTCTGTTCCTGATACCCAATATATCTTGGGTGTATTAACAAAAAATTACTAAGCATGCTGAAGAGCAAGAAAAATCACAGTCTAAAGAGACAAAGCAAGCACCAGAACGAGACTTAGGTATGAGAGATTTCAGACTAGAAACTTAAAATAACTTTTATTAGTATATTAAGGGTTCTAATGGAAAAAAAGTGGACAACATGCAAGAACAAGTGGGTAGTTTAAACAGAGACATGGAAACTAAAAAAGAATCAGAAGGGAATGCTAGAAATCAAAAACATTGTAACAGAAAGGAAAAATGTCTTCGGATGAGTTTGTCAGTAGACTGGACACAACTGAGTAAAGAATTAATAAGCTTAAAGATAGAAGTTTCCAAAACTGAAATACAAAGAAAAGAAAAACTAAGTGCGAATGAAAATACATCTTATCAAAATGTGTGGAATGTAGTGAAATGCAGTGCTTACAGCATTAAATGCATATGTTAGAAAAGAGGAAAGATCTAAAGTGAATGGCCTAAGCTTTTACCTTAGAAAACTAGGGAAAGTTCAATATAAACCTAAAGCTAGCAGAAGGAAGGAAATAAAAATTAGATTAGAAATCAATGAAGTGAAAGACAAGAGGATAATATGATTAAAAACCAAAAACTGATTCTTTGAAAATCAGAGGGAAACATTTTATATACACAGACACTTAAATAGTTGAACACAAAGCTTCATAATAGATCAGCATTAGTGGAATGGCCAACAAGTTGTCATTGGCATGTGGGAAGCTAGAGAGTTAGATGTTTTATGGTTTTTTCATTTTAATTTTTTTACTGAAGTATAATTGATTTATAAGTTCATGTTAGTTTCTGGTATACAGAAAATTCTTTTTCATATTATTTTCCATTGTGATTTAATACACGATACTGAGTGTAATTCCTGTATTATACAATAGGACCTTGTTACTTATTTTATATGTAGTAGTTTGTATCTGCTAATCCCAAACTTCTAATATTTCCCTCCCTCACCCCCTTTCCCTTTTGGTAACCATAAGATTGTTTTCTATGTCTGTGAGTCTGTTTCTGTTTTGAAATAATTTCATTTATATCATATTTTAACCTCTGCAAATAAGTTATATCATATGATACTTGTCTTTCTCTGTCTGACTTACTTCATTTAGTACAGTAATCTATAGGTCCATCCATGTTGCTGCAGATGGCATTATTTCATTCTTTTTTATGGCTGAGTAGTATCCACACAATGGATATGTGAGATATATATATTTGTTTATAGTTTCCTTTGCTGTGCAAAAGCTTATAAGTTTAATTAGTTCCCATTTGTTTATTTTTGCTTTTATTTCTGTTGCCTTGGGGGACTGACTTAAGAAAATGTTACAATATATGTCAGAAAATGTTTTGCCTGTGTTCTCTTCTAAGAGTTTTATGGTGTCGTGTCTTATATGTAACTCTCTAAGCTATTTTGAGTTTATTTTTGTGTAGAGTTTGAGGGAGCATTCTAATTTCATTGATTTACATGTGACTGTCCAGCTTTCCTAACACTACTTCCTGAAGAGACTGTCTTTTCTCTATTGTATATCCTTGCCTCCTTTGTCAGAGATTAATTGACCGTAGGTGTGTGGGTTTATTTCTGGCTCTCTGTTGTGTTGCTTTGATCCATATGTTTGCTTTTGTGCCAATACCCACAATGTTTTGATTACTGTAGCTTTATAGTATTGTCTGAAGTCTGGGAAGGTTATGCCTCAAGCTTTGCTCTTATTCCTCAGGATTGCTTTGGCCACTCTGGGTCTTTTATGGTTCCGTGTAAATTTCAGGATTATTGTTCTAGTTTTGTGAAAAATGTCATGAGTAATTGGATAGGGATCACGTTAAATCTGTAGATGGCTTTGGGTAGTATGTCCATTTTAACAATATTAATTCTTCTAATCCAAGGACATGGGCTATCTTTCCATTTCTTTAAATCATCTTCAGTTTCCTTTATCAATGTTTTATGGTTCTCAGCATACAGGTCTTTTACTTCCTTGGTCAGGTTTATTCCTAAGTTTTTTTTTTTCTTGATGTGATTTTAAAAAGGATTGTTTTTTAGTTTCCCTTTCTGATATTTCATTGTTAGTGTAAAGAAATTCAACAGATTTCTGTATGTTAGTCTTGTTTCCTGCTACCTTGCTGAATTTGTTGATCAGTTCTAGTAGTTTTTATGTGGAGTCTTTAGGGATTTCTATATATAGTATCATGTGATCTGCATATAATAACAATTTTACCTCTTCCCTTCCAATTTGGATACCTTTTATTTCTTTTTCTTTTTCTTTTTTCTTTTTTTTTTGTCTGATTGCTGTGGCTAGGACTTCCAATACTATGTTGAATAGAAGTGGTGGGAGTGGGCATCATTGTCTTGTTCCAGATTTTAGCAGGAAGGCTTTCGACTCTTCCCCATTGACTACTATGTTAGATGTGGATTTGTCATAAAGAGCTTTTATTATGTTGAGATATGTGCCCTCGACCCCCACTTTGGTTAGAGTTTTTTATCATGAATGGATGTTGAATTTTATCAGATGCTTTTTCTGCATCTATTGAAATGATCATATCGTTTTTGTTGTTTCTTTTGTTGATGTGGTGTTATCACATTGATTGATTTGTGTATATTGAACAATCCTTGTGACCCTGGAATGAATCCAACTTGATCATGGGGTATATGATCTTTTTTATGTGTTGTTAGATTTGATTTGGTTTGCTAATATTTTGTTGAGAATATTTACATCTATATTCATCAAAGACATTGGCTTGTAATTTTCTTTTTTGGTAGTGTCTTTGTCTGGTTTTGGTATCAGGGTGATGGTGGCTTCATAGAATGACTTTGGGAGTATTCCCTTCTCCTCAATCTTTTTGAAGAGTTTTGGAGGATTTGTGTAAGTTCTTCTTGGGTGTGTTTGGTAGACTTCCCCTGTGAAGCCTTCTGGTCCTGGACTTTTGTTTCCAAGGAGAATTTTTTTATTATTATTATTATGGATTCTATTTCACTTCTAGTGATTGGTCTGTTCAAATTATTTATTTCTTCTTGATTCAGTTTTGGTGGGCTGTATGTTTCTAGAAACCTGTCCATTTCTTCTAGGTTGATTTGTTGGCATGTAATTGTTCATAGTATTCTCTTACAGTTTTTTGTTTTTCTGCGGTATCGGTTGTTATTTCTCCTCTTTTATTTCTTACTTTGTTTATTTGGGTCCTCTCGCTTTTCATCTTGGTGAGCCTGGCCAGAGATTTTTCGATTTTGTTTATTACCATTTCAAAAAACCTAAGACCTGGATATGTTAGAGGGACACCTGAAATAGACTGCAACATACCTGCTGCTATGTTAACCCATTAAGAAAAAGTTTCCAAAGAACTGTCATGGTTTCTAGGAATCTCCGCTAGCCCTGTTAAATAAATTGTTAATCTTTTCTTTCATACCACAAAGCTCTATGCCCTCCATATCTCAGATCTGAATTACTGTTACAGCTTCTTAAGTGGTATCCCTGCAGAAAGTCCCTATATTTAGACCAATCTCTTTTTAGTATTTCACTTATTCCAAGTTCATTTTCTGCCTCTGGCTTCCTGGCAACCAGTAGGCATGTGAATTAATCATGTCTCTCTCTGGTTTGCTATTTTGTCTTTTATATCTTTGAATTATTGTACTCATTACATAGTGTGTACATGTTTTTTTCCCCTCTCTGAGAAGTTTAAAGGCCAATTGTTGAATCCTCAGCACCTGGCATTAAGATGCCAAATAGTAGATGCATGATTAAATGTCTGTTTGATTGAGTTAAGTACTTATCCTGCCTTCATCCTTCTGAAATACTCTTCTGTTTGCCTGTGGAAATTCTATCCCACTTTTCAAACTCACCTATTCCATGAAATCTCTCCTGCCTATAGTCTACATTGATTTCCAAACTCTTACCATATCCATATGCGGTACCATGTGATGAGCTGCATGGAATCTGGAGTGATGGCTTGAGTGTCCCAAACTTTTACATGATATATAAATTAGTATAGAAATAGAAAATGACTAGTTAAAAAATTGAGAGTATTTACTCAGTAACTGCTTTGGTAAGGTACTGTGCTAGTTTTTAAGGGGACAAAGATGAGTACATCCCTCAAGGAGCTTACAGTTTAGTAGGGGAGATAAGACATACAACAAGTAGTTAAGTGGTGACTTTCATAGTGGATGTGTTTTGAGAGTTGATTATGGCAGTTGGGAAGCTCAAGTAAAGCTTTGTGGATTTTGATAGCCATGGGTAAAATTTAAACCCCATAAAGTCAGCATTATGATTATTCCTGTATTATTGATGAAACAAATTGATGCCCAGAGAAGTTAAGTATCTTGACCAAGGTCATAATAGTCAATAGTGGTAGAGTTGAAACTTAAACTTAGTAAGTCTGCCTTCCAAATATCTGCCTTTAATTGCAGCACCAAGACTGTAGAGGTCATACAGAAGAATTAGCAACACTAATGGGATATGGAGAGTAATGGAGTACTGCAGGCACAGATGACATCAGAGGCACCTGAGTGACGTGATTAAAGCAGTGATGGTGCCATTGACAACATGGGGAACACAGACTAAGACATAAAAGTAGGAGGAAAACTCAGTTAATTTTAGACAAACCAAGTTTTAGGTACTTGCAGGAGGGACACATAGCAGTTAGAGAAATTGGACTGGATATGAGAGGCAGTTCGAAATAGGGGGAATCTCAATGGCCACAAAATATTGAAAGCATGTCTAACTTTACCAGAGTCGTGGAAATAAAAGTTAAAAATGTGAGATGCCCTTTTCTACCTGCTAGATGGACAAAAAGTTAAAAATTGTATACTCAAATTGTAAGAATATAGAGGGGTAAGAATTTTTATACACAGTTCCCAGAATTGCCTTTTTTTGCAGTTGATTTGTTCAAATCAGGATCCCAACATTGCAAAGTCCAAACATTGCATTTGGCTGAATATCTCTTAAAGAGTCTCTTTTGAAGACTGTGTTTGTTTGTTTAATTGATTTTGCTTTTCTTTTCCCCACTTTGGTAGGTTGGAACAGTCAGAGAGCCTTGAGGAAAACCAGCGAAACCTCCTTCAGATGACTGAAAAGTTCTTCCATGCCATCATCAGTTCCTCCTCCGAATTCCCCCCTCAGCTACGAAGCGTTTGCCACTGTTTGTACCAGGTATGCTTAAGTTTAGAGGTTACCTTTATTAATCCAAAGCTAAATTTAAAAGAATGCTTTACCAAAGAGGGATTTAGCTGCTGATAGTGAATGGTTGATAATACTGAGTAATATTGCTTAGAAGACAGTTTGAAGTATTTTAAGGGGGTACTTTAAAAACAGTAAGTTTTTCTTGCATTGGGAACCAGTTTAAAATGCACCAAGTCTACTAGGTGTAATAGATGTGGCTGAAGTGAGATATACTATGGAATTTTTATGGTGGTTTTTACCTAAATTACTCATAGAGTCTTTCACATATGAGGCAGGTCTATTCTTTGTTTTTTGCATTGTGAAATGCTTGGTCTGTAATTCCGATTTCTTCTTTAAACTATAATGTGTTTGTGTCAGGTTTTCCCAGGACAGACTGATGTTTATTTTATGTAGGATGCTATTTATAAAATATATTGCATCATCATTCACATCAAATTATTAGACTTCCTAACACTAGCACTGCAAGTAATGCTTCTGAGTTCAGATGTCCACAGTCATCCCCTACTTGGTGAGGAAATTAGGTCTGTGTTCTTTTATGGCTTCCACTGTGTATTTAAATTGCTTATGCAGTTTCAGAAATGATTGAATCATTCCAAGGGAGATAAATGCAAATCCACGTTAGCCTGTTTAAACTATGATTCTGGGGGAAACATTAGTTGGTCTGGAGTTTCGGACAGGGGTAGGTATAGGGGAGAGAATTTATGTATTTCCCAAAACCAATGCCTTTTGTGTCTTTTTCTTTGCAGAGTCATCCCCAGCCATTTGTTTTTTAGCACAGGGCTTCAGTTGCTTAGAGACGTTAGCAAGATCAGTGAAATCATCATTTTAAAATGCTGTTTCAGGCTGCTCTGTGTGAATTTTTCCCCCATTGCTATTTATAAAGATGTATCTGCTGTATCTATAAAAAAAACTTTTCTTCATATACGTGTAAAGCGTACTTAGCAATAAAACTCTCTTAATTTATCGTGACTTTTCCTGCCTTTTCAAAATAGCTCAAGGGAGCTTAGGAGAGCACCACATAATTTTTCCAGCTGGTTAAATCTGAGACTAGAGGGTGGCTTAGTTATAATATAAAATATAAAACAGTAAATATTATCTTCTCTTAAGTTTGGGCATTATTCAGGTAGCTCTTTAAATCTAACTCAGTCTTTCTGTTTATAAAACTAAGTAGACAAGAAATGGTGAACACATACTAGAAATAGTCTGGGTCAACTTCTTGGGTGGCCTAATAGAGAGCAAATGGATTTCTAAAGCGGCAGTGGCTTTGATTTTAACTGCTTAAAAGTGAATGGGTACTGACTACCTGATTACATGCATAGTCTAGTAGATTTTAGTAGAAACTCTTCATGTGTTGTCACCCTAAAAGAAAAAATTGTATCAGCAAACTTGGAGTCCCATTTGATAAGGAAAAAGGAACAGGGCTTGGCACTTAGTAAGTACTTCGGAAATATTTAATGAAGGAATAAATTACCCTATTCCTCCTGCCCATGTAAACAAGATTCTTACCCGCTTTCATAGTTAGAAAGGGAGGGAAGTAGTGAAAATAAATCAGAAAACAGAGCTTATTAAACACCAAGTGTTGTGCTTTTTTAAACACTCCATAATACAGTATCCCATATTACAACAGACCTGAATTATCATATTAAAATTTCACATACAATTATTCTCTTTAAGAATATTATTGAAATGTTAGTGCATTTTTTGGAGTATTGGGTAAACTTATTATTGGAATGTAGAATACTATGGAGCAAAGGTATCCAATGTTATTTATAAATAAGGGTTTGTTTTTTAATAGGTGACTGATAATGGGGAATTTTACATTTACTAATTTAAAAAGAAAGGGAAAAAAAAACTTCGATCTCAAGATAGTCTTTCATTAAGTCCCCTTCCAAATGTTTTCCCCTTAGTTTGTTCTTTTATTTTTGTTCATATTCCCTCTTCTGGCTCTTCCTTGCCCTTTTGACTTTGGCAGAAACATAATGGGACCTTTGTACTTTCAAGTTCTGCTGGCAGGGTAGTTGATTGTTTATTTCCCCTCTAGCAAACATGGCTCCTGCTTTGGGACCTACCGGGGAAAATTTGAAAGCTAAGTGAGTAGATTGCTAGCTAATGGGTTTCTCTGAGCTTTGGCTCTTTTTACTTGAGTAATATTTTGACTCTTAAGCCTTTTTAAGATTGTGCTTTAACCGGCTCTTTTGTTTTATATGCCTCCTTACTTAGTGGACTGGATTAAAGTTATATAGGAATAGCCAACTATTCCTGTATAGTTCAACTACAGTGAACATGTATTAGATTTATAACTAAGGCATTTTCTCAAGAATTTGTTTCCACTTTTCCTCCTGATAGTTTTGGAATAATGAGCAAATAATTCCCAGAATGGATATTCTCCTAAGCTGTGGTGAGAGAGTTATGAAAAGAGCTAAATATTATGACTCTAAATAAATGTCATCTTTTCTCAGCAAATCTTCTCCTCCAAACAAAATTAGTTTACACAAAAATGTTAAGGCTATAAATAATAGTTTTATACCATAATTGAAAAAAAGTGTATAAAATGGCATTTTTGTGATAAATTGGGTTACGAGTGCTTTTGTATATAGTCTAAAATTTGAATCAAAGCTCCTTGAAAAAGGAACTGTGTCTTACTGTTTGACTGCTGTTTTCCAATGCCTAGATGGTATCTAGCATGTAGATGCATGGTAACTACTCAGATGGATGAATGGACGGATGGATGAACAGATATCAAACTAACTGTCCCAAATTGTTATGGGCTATGGTGCTGGATGCACAGAATTCCTAGAATGAAATGCCATATATGGTGGATTAAGAATTCTAGTTTGTTCTAAAAATATTTTAAAAATAATTGTTGTTCCTAGTCTAGTTCAGTCAGAAGTCTTTTAGTTTTAACAGAGCTCTTTGGCCTAGGAGGAGCTCTGTGAGATGAAACCAATACGTCTCTGAGCTTTAGGGGGGGATTTTTTTTTTTTTTTGAGACATTCTGATAAATGGTCAAATCTGTGAAAGATTTTAAGCAGGCTTACAGTTTTATTCTATAATTTTCTCCGCAGTTTCTTTACTTTAATATTAATTAATGCTTGTTTCTAGTTGAGCTGATAACATTCTTTCCCCAAATGTTGCAGAGCTTTTAACCTCCTCTGATTAGAACCTTTTCAGGAAATAGCCTGCAAACAGAAAGATAAGTGAAATTTTAAGAGTAATCTTTCTTAAAGAGAGAGAGTGAAATTTTTAATTCAGAATCTCTAGAGTGTATTTTTCTATTATATTTAGCCATTTAAAGTTCATTTTTTAATCAGTAGGATCTGAATTAAATGCCAGCTATGAAAAAAAGAACTTTTAAGTCAATTGAAGGATACACAGAGAAGTGTACATAAATCTATATATCAAGAAAAAATTGTGGAGACAAATAGCAGTGTTTTTAGTGTGTCATCTACTTATAATGAACATTTTGTATAAAATTTATCAAAAGCTAGGAATTAACTAAAATGTAAATATTAAATATCCTCAGATACTCTTGAGGAGAACTTTTCTGTGATTTATAGCCAGAAATAGTAGATATGATTGTCTGAACATTTCTTGCTATTTATTTAGTGCTTTGGCTTAAACATGTAGTAAAAATGAAAATCCAGAGATAAAATTCATCCCTCAAAATTCAGTTGATTTCTAATTTTTTGTTGATTCCATTTGTGTTACATTTTGATGGTGTAATTTTATGTACAAGCCAACATTGTTTTTGTTGCTGTATGTAGTTGGTGCTGTGACTTGTTTGTGCTCATCTCTGTTCCTGTAGGCAACTTGCCACTCCCTACTGAATAAAGCTACAGTAAAAGAAAAAAAGGAAAACAAAAAATCAGTAAGTTTGGAGAACTTTTTTTTAGCTGTTTCTTTCGAAGCAAAACAAAAATCTTTTGCTGTTTGTTAAGAACATCTTCACTGTAGCCTATTTGACCTTCACTGTAAAATCATTCTACTAATTCTGGCACAAAATAGCTTTCATTTCAATTAACCCTGGAATTAAGTTACATTGAAACATTCTCTGTGTTCCTTTGGTTTGATTTATCCCAAAGGCATTTTGGGGGCATTTGTTGCATTGGATATCCCTGGTTTAATTTTATTATTGTTATTTTGAAAATTATAAATGAATGCAAAAGAAACTTAATTTCAAGGCCTTAGGAAATGCTGACTCTCTTCATTCTTGCTTCTTGTTTGCAGGTAATGTGAGTGATTTCTTTTCCTAGAGATGAAAGTTTTTCTTAATTGTTAGAAGTACATGGAAGGAAAGTGTCACTTTCTAAATCTTACTTAAAAGTAGCTAAATTTAATTTTTTACTTCTTATATTTTCATCTAGACAGTTTCCTCCAGAATTTAGATATTTGTGAAATTCTAATGGTGAAACAAAACCACTTTTACCTTAGAAAAAATCATCATTAAACTATTGGGACTGAGAACATAGTACTTTTGAAATAAAGGAAAACAGTGAGTCCATATTTATAGAGAAATACCTTATTTGTAAACATGGTATGAATATACTACCTACTTTTATGACCTTGCCCTAATTTAAAAGGAAGAAAATTATGGTAGTCATAATAATTTTTTTCCTGTGAGTGAAATTTGTCCAAAATATTAACATGCATTCATTTAAAATTTGCCATTATCTTTCAGTATGACTGATCTTGAATCAGGCTGAGTACTGCCTTTGTACATATAATCCAAATGAATTTAGAGAAGGATGTAAAGAAAACCTTTAGGAGTCATGTAGGTAGTTTACTTTAAAAGGTAAAATTTAAAATATAGTATTCATCTGGTTTCATCTTTCATTCCTTGTCTGAGCTTCACATATAACAAATTTTGGTTGTAAATTCAAAACTAAATTAAAATTTATAGACATATGCTTTTATATCAATTCAGGAGATTCTTTTTTGGGTATGTTAAGTAAATTTGTTCAGCTGTCAGCAAATGGATTGGATTGGATGGCCATCTTGCTTAATAAAAACATTTCTTTCTAATGCTTCAGCCTTCTAATTCTCAGCATATGTGGATTTAACTTAATATACACCATCACTGTTGAAATTAATTTACTGTTTCTAACATTCTTGTTCAGTGTTTTACTAATGCCGTTGTGTAGTGTATCACATAAATTAAAATTCAGGCTTTCTGTGTTTGTCTAGAGCATGTTTTCTAGCCTTCCTAATAACATTGCTGTATTTATTAAGATTATGTCTAAAATTGTTTCTTGAAAAATTTTTTTCTACTAGTGTTATTTTCAGATTTAAAAAATGTTTCTGGGTAACATGAAGTTGTGGAATGTATTTCTCAGCACAAGTGATATGAGGTTCTCGTGGAAATGGAGGGAATCTAATTGGTAATTTGAGATATTTTAGAATACATTCCAAAGTTTGATGGCAGTATAGCCATTATAAATTTAAAATACTGGTTTATGGAGCTGTTGGGGTAACAAAATCTAATGATCTTTTAAAAGCAAGTTAACTTTCTTTTGGGGTGTATGTACCATGAGTTGTAATATGTAAAATATATAGAGAAGGTTCTGGCTTCTGGTATATAGCTATGTAGTTGTATTACAATAATTCTGTTTATTACACTCAAATATATGCTGTATAATTAGATCTCCTTTGAGAAGTTAATTGTCAGCCTAACTTAGGTAATTAAGGATATATGGGTTGTGATCCTCTTGCTGATGTACAATGTATGTATTTATTTGTAACATACAGCTTTTAGTGGGGTGTCGGTAGTGAAGGAGACATTTGACTGATACCTGGTTTCCGCATACAGACTGGCCTTAATTTGATCTTTTATGCAGAATGTCTTTTGGATCCAAATTAGATTTTTACAGGTTAAAAAGGAAAAAAACAACTTGAGTATGTATATTATGAAGTAAAATCACACTGATGTTAATTAGTGGTGAAAGAAAAAGTAGTATTTTTATATATTGACTCATAAAACTTGTTATAAAGCATTTTTATGGATATTATTATTTTATCAGGTTTTAGTTCCAAGAATATATTGAAACTGTTGTCAGTGATTATATGATACTTGGAACAATGTGTGTTCCTGCAGTGTGGATATTTTGTTTTGACATGAATTGTTTTTGAAAATGTGGAAGATAGTGAAGGTGTACTTGTCATAAGTTTTATAGTATTCTCCCTTTGAGAAATAATTCACTCAGATGTTCATTAAATTCTGAGACTGAGTAGTACTGAGTATAAATCAGGTATTAATGTGAGTCACTTTAAAACTTTTTTGTCCTAAAGAAAACCAATAAATAGCTACCTTCAAAAATGCATTTTAAGAGTTCTCCAAGTTTGTATGAGTAATTCATTTTTTGAGATACTTTGACAGCAGGTTAGTATTTTATAAATTAACCAGTTCTTTAACCAGACTCTGACTTTTACCTCTTTCAAAACCACTTTAAGATATTAATGGATTAAACTGAATATGTGCTATTCCTTTAAAACAACCTATTTGCAATTAAATATAAAGCAATTTTTAACCTCCTTCCTTCTTGCTAACTCACTCCTTAAGGGCTTTAAGATTTTATAGGTTTGTTGATAATGTTTCTTATGTTTTAAGATTAAAATTTGTGAGTTCTAAAAGAAACAGTCACAATGGTGGTCTGTGAACATTCTAAAATTGTATGAAGAATTTTGTCTGTGCAACAGTAAACATTCTTTTTTCTGTTCCTACTCCCCAAAAGGTTAAACACTATACTAGATAGTAAAAGCACTTGAGTTTTCTTAATTCTATTTCTAAAACTGTATTTTGGTTAAAAATAACTCTAAAACAGTATTTAGATTTTAACATTCTACTAAGGCTGCTGTATGTAGCCACCTTCATCAGTTTCCTCTTACTGAATTGTAAGGTTGCTCTTCGTGCAGTAGCACTCAAAGTACTGTGCCACCAAACTTCCTCAGCTGCATAGTATAAACAAAGGTGGGAATGTATTAGTCATAACTCACCCCCATTACCACTTTTACAAAGATTTTTTCTGCTTAAAAAATTATCCTCTATTAAACTAGTTTTTTTACTAACTTTCTGTCGGATATGATAGAAAATTATTTTGAGATTTCAGGCAGTGAATAAGAACACATTTATAATGCATACCACATGAAGCACTAGAGGAAATAGAATGAAATAATTCTTATTCTTTCCAGAGTTAGTATGGAGTCAGTGAGCCATGTGAATTCACGAGAGGAAATATTACTTTATTGAGGCATTGTGAAGAAAACTAGAGCTGTGTGAAATTCTGCACATACGTCCTGTTTTCTCATTTTTCCCTCATATCTTTGAAATGTAGGTATAATCAATGATGATAAAATTAAGACCTTTTTTCAGATCTCTTCTACACAACTCATCCATGAGACGTCTTTTTTCTTAGATACATTTATCATGCTTTTAAAGGTTGGAGGGCAAGAATTGAGGATAAGCTTTATTTGCTGATGTTTTGGGAGTAGGAAAAAGTAAAAATGTATTGTCCTCAAGGGTTGGTCTGTTCAGGGTCTTTGTGCAAAGTTTGACCTTCAAGCTCTTTTCTTCCCATTTCCATGTTTTAATTCAAACCGTATACTCAATTCTCAACTCCTTGTTTTTAGGTGGTTAGCCAGCGTTTCCCTCAGAACAGCATCGGTGCAGTAGGAAGTGCCATGTTCCTCAGATTTATCAATCCTGCCATTGTCTCACCATATGAAGCAGGGATTTTAGATAAAAAGCCACCACCTAGAATCGAAAGGGGCTTGAAGTTAATGTCAAAGGTGAAGAATTATTTTGATAATATAACTATTTTAAATTTCTCTTCAATAAATTTTCAGTTTTTCATATTCACTGTACTTATTTACTCTTGAATTTATTTTTGGAATGCCCTCTGGTTTTCACTTACATGCCTTGTTTTATTTTTATTTGTTTATATTACAAAGGAATTCATTAGACTGATACCTGATGGGCCTTATTATCACTTGAAAATATTTTAGCAAATGTCTTCAGAAGATAGTTTTCTGTGTAATCATTCTGGAAATTCTGAAGTGGAAACCAAAATGTATATTTTATGATTTTTTAAATTAAAAATATATTAAATAATGTGTATTTTATGTGTATAACTGTATGTGTGTGTATATAATAATAATACTAATATTTGGAAAAGAATAGAAATAACACCTAGTATTTATAGACTGAGCAATCATTGCCAGTAGAAATTATATCAATGAAAAAATTAATATTTTAAAAAGAATATATGAGGGTGTAGATTTTATAATCTGATCCTTTATAACCTTGTTTTATTGTTTAGATACTTCAGAGTATTGCCAATCATGTTCTTTTCACAAAAGAAGAGCATATGCGGCCTTTTAATGATTTTGTGAAAAGCAACTTTGATGCAGCACGAAGGTAAGCAGCCTGCCACTTAGCCAGTTGCTCTGTTTGAGTCAGATATTTTCACTTCCACTTAAGTCCATGTATTTGGTCTACATGAAGCTCCTGCTTATTAGGTTTTTTCTTTTTAATCTCTAGGACAAGAACATAATTAATCTTACTTTATTTTACTGTAAAAAACATTAATGAAGTAAATCCATACTCTTTGTAATTTGGTAGTGATTTCCATATTTAAAAACCAGGAGGGATTTTTGACATAGCTACTAAAATAAAGGATTTGAGTTTGCTACAATATGGAGGAGAGGAAGAAGGAAAAAGCCTTCTTTCAGTAAAAACTAAAACTGAAATGGTACAGATAACGCATAATAGTGTATAATCACAAGATTTGTGACATTAGAATATTTTTGATACTTTAATTTGAAAGTGTACGTAAACTAAAAGTTTACTCTTTAAACCAAGTAATACAAATGCATATGATTTTGTTCAAGAGTAACTGGAAAACTGTTCAAGTTGTATGATTTTAGAAAACTTGAGTTCTGCTCGGTAGGTTCCCATAACTAACTAGTTGCTTCTCTTTATCTGTCTTGAGTTGCTGGTTTATTTATAAAGCAGGTGTAATACCGTGTTTGCCTGTGAGTTGATTTTAGAGAAACGAATGAGATAAATTATGAGAAAGTTCTTTGTAAATGTAAGTTAACATCAAGAATTCTACTTTTCATGTAGCAGTAGATTCATAAGTCTAACTGATCTGACTCACAGTCTAAGCTGTACTTGTACAACTCTCTCTTCCAATTTTTCATTATAGTTTGTACCAACTTCTAATTGGAGTTTAAAAGATACATTGTTGGGTTGCAAACCATAGTGGAAAGAAAGTGAATGTCAGCCTAGGATTTATATTCTAAGTAGATTGACTACCCACAGAAAGTTAAAAGAACAAAGGTTTTGATCCTGGCTTCAACCTGGCAAGTTGTATAACTTTGGAGAAGGTCTTTTGTCTTGTCTGGGCCTCCGTTTCCTTACCTGTAAAGTACTGGCTTCTCTACAAAGTCTCATCCATCTGAATTTATTGTCTGACTTGAGAGCCTACCCTGAAACTGAAGCTAGACATCAGAAATGGAAAACCAACTTTCTCCTTGTCTCTTCTTGTTTTGTTTAATGATAGTCACATGTGTGGGTTAAACCTCCATATTTGTAATCTCAGTTATTTCACAGTTACTTCATATAAATTTAATTCAGACATATATATGAGTATATCTGACTTTTGAAATTCTGATAACTTTGCATTTTTGAAGGTTTTTTCTTGATATAGCATCTGATTGCCCTACAAGTGATGCAGTAAATCACAGTCTTTCCTTCATCAGTGATGGCAATGTGCTTGCTTTACATCGTCTACTCTGGAACAATCAGGAGAAAATTGGCCAGTATCTTTCCAGCAACAGGTAAGACTTTCCAATCACAGGGATATTGGAAACTCTCAGTTTAATTTTATATTAATAAAGTTATTGGTCATGAATAATACTTTTTATTTTGTGTCTTTTTAAAATAAGAATTATGATTTGGAAAGAGAAATGTAGACTCTCTTTAAAAATACATAGGCAAAAACTTGTCATATTAAGTGGTAACAAGCTTACATAGGTGCTACAGACTTTTTTTTATGTTAAACTAAGAAATCAGAAATTAGGTTTTTAGGTTTTTTCTGGTTTGCAAACATTAGTGTGCAACAAGACATAGAGATGTTTAAATTTACTAGAAGATCAAATGAGTATTGGCATCTGAATCTGAAGAACAGCTTAATTTTTAGGAATTTTATAATGAAAACATTGCGATTCTATTGTAAGCCTATAGTAATCCCATTTGTGATACTCTTATGTATATGCAAATAAAGTTTTATATAGATAATTAATTAATTTCAGAATTTTACATTAGTTAGTCTCTTGTAGCCTGGGTCATTTGCTGTCCTTTCTAATTATTTATGTTTATAAAGGGCCCTCTATCTGAGGAGCTCTCTTAAAAAGGTAAAATGAGTCCAGATTATTTTTAAATGCCAATGAAAACAATTTGCTCATTCATGGAAAAGATAGAAGACCATGAAGCTAAGGCTAACTAATTAAGAAATGGGAATTTAAAATATAGAACATTTTAATCTTTTATGAATTGTTAATGGCTTGGAGTAGACATGGGCATGACTGATAATGTGTCTAAGACAGAAATATGAAAATGCTTTATCTGTGTGGCACTCAAACTATGGAACTTTTAAATGCAAAAATTCATTTATCTTGCAATAATTCACATATGTATTCATGTAGTTTAATACTAGAGAATTTTTTTCCACTTGGTTTTTTAAAAAATACACATTTCAAACATACAAAAAAGTATAGACCATATTATAAGAGAGACACATGTCTACTCCCTAGCTTTAACATTATTTTACTGTATTACTTCAGATCTTTAAAACGTTTTATTTCTTGGGGAAAGAAGAGTGTAATTTACAAAAAAGAAAAATTATAGGTATAGCATAGGTATGTATAACATAGTTTTGTGTGTTTTAAACTTTTACAGAAATGATGTACTCAATATAGTCTCTTCATACAGTACTCTGAGATTTATCATTTATTTAACTTAGTATCTCGTTGAATGACTGTAACACTAGTTTCATATTTCCTAATTGATCGATGTTTAGGGTTTCCTGTTTTTCATTATTTTTAATAGTGATGTAGTAAATATTCTTCATATTTGTCTCCCTGTGTATTACCTAAATGCATAATTGCTGGGTTCTGGGGTATGCAGAACCTCAACTTGACTAGATATTACCACATTGCTTTTCAGTGTACATGCTAATATAGTTTGACGAGCACTGTGTACCTCTTTATACACATCCTCACCAAAGGTGGCATTAGCAAACGTCATAATTTTTTGCCGATTTGATGTTTCTGAAATAGTGTCTTATTTTTATCTGGTTTTAAATGTTTAATAATTATTGAAACTTCATGTTTACCCTTATTAAGCAGAAATCTGGTATCAGGGACAGTATGTCTATTTTCTAAATAGTGGTTTCTCAAGATGGATTCTTTTCATTCTAAGAGACAGTGGATCAAAATGTTATTTTTACTTACTGATTGTCTGTTTAATGGGAATGGATTTAAAATACTAGAACAGAATGAATTTTTACGTAAATTTTGTAGTTTGAGGAGTGGTCATATGTCTAAGATGTCTCAGTGTAAATTTAACAACCCCTGAGGTCTTTTTGGTGCAGTTTAGAAATCAGCAGGAACCACCAGGTAACAGTAAAAAGAAAAGCAACCAATGACAGTCTAAAGAAATGTGTACTGCTAAATGTGAACTGCAACTTTTTCCTAAGTAGTTTGCTATATCTAGGGATCACAAAGCTGTTGGAAGACGACCTTTTGATAAGATGGCAACACTTCTCGCATACCTGGGTCCTCCAGAGCACAAACCTGTGGCAGATACACACTGGTCCAGCCTTAACCTTACCAGTTCAAAGTTTGAGGAATTTATGACTAGGTAAAGTACCACGTTGAAATGATGATTGCTTCTTTTTGGTTGAGGTGCAAAGTTTGCCACCAGGCCACTTGTTAGATGTGCTTGTGTATTTGATAGAGGATTATCAAGAAAGATGTACTCAATAACCACATTGTCATGTTTAGGATTCCACTTCTGTCTTATTCTATGTATTGTTGAAATATGCTTTGTTTTGTGGTTGATTTTAGTATAAAAATAGTGTCTTATTGAATAGTACTTTGTATGTTGTTTTGAGGTGTTTTTGCATTTAATACTTAAAAGGGAGGATAGATAACATTATTTTCATATTATAGTTAGGGAAAATAAAGCTCAAAGTGAATAATTAATTTGCCTAAGATTCCACACCTCTTTCATAGGTCCTTCGGTTCTAAGTGATGAACTCTTTCTACCACACTGTAACATTTTTCAGAACCCTCCTAAAAGTTAATAGTACTAACTTCTTTTAGATTGAGACTCAGAAAATGTAGTTTACTTTAATATTGCAAAAAAACTTCTGTGGACTTTTTTTTTAATGTGGACATTTGTTCTGAATCTCATTTAGAGAAATTTAGTTTGGGAGCCACACAATCCTCATTGTTAAATGTTGTTCACCTCTGTGATGTTACAATGAAGGTAGTTTGCTGAATTCTTTGGTATTTAAAGTACCTTTCATGATCCTTTATACTTAGTCACGCAGTGCTTCATATAGTGAGTGTGGGTTAAGTGTTTTTTGTTCATAGTGTATGCAGAGAGAAAAAAGCAGAATATGACATTATGAAGTTAATTCACATTACTGATTTGTATATCATGTGCCTTGCCTTGTTTTAGTGCCTGTTATTAATCATATTAGGTATAGGTCATAGTTTTGTACACATTACTCCAAATTTTTGATATCTTTAGCTCTGTTATATTTTTCTGTGTAACAAATGCTTATTCCTATGTAATTAAGGAAATATCTTCTATATAAAAATTTCATGTTACCTAGTTGAAAAGTATAGTACAAAAATGTAAAACTTTTTTATTCAACATTACTAAGGACATCCTTGCCATTTTTCCATTTTTCTAAGAAAACCTCTTTATTAGTCCTTTTACCTTAACCTAAGACCCTGCCTTCCTTACAAAACAATCTTCTGTGCTTTTGAAGACTAAATGATCTAATTTGTGTAAAATACTTAGAACTAGTGTCTGTTGTGTATATAAAGTGTTTAATAAACTTTAGGTGATGTTTTTAAGTTCCCACTGATGCTGTCTGAGGCCCATTTTCCTTTTAAAAAATGGAAAGTAGCTTTATAATGTTGTTAACTCTAAAAATAAAAATTGTTAAATTATTCAAAACATAGAAATCTAAAAGAGAATGTAAAAATTTTTCAGTTATTTCACTTCTTAGAGATAATTCAGTTAGCATTTGGCCAATAGCTTCCCAGTCATTCAGCTATACACATGTGAACCTATTTCCCTTATCAAAGGATGTCTAGATTGTTTCCATTAATATTAAACAAATGCTGACCTGGTACCAGCAACAGGATGAACTGAGATAATACAACCTCTTCTCTCACCCCCAGGACACATGAAAATACTAGGTAAAAGAAAATATGTTTTAAAAATAAAGTATTTTTAGGGGGGAGGGTATAGTTCAAGTGATAGAGTGCATGCTTAACATGCACAAGGTCCTGAGTTCAATCCCCAGCACCTCCTATAAAAATAAATAATTAAACTTAATTACCTCCCCCCTGCCCCCCCCAAAGTATTTTTAAATGCATATTTGGAAAAGAATTTCAGAGCAAATTAGCTGAAAGGCAGTACAGAGAGACAAAGAAATGTAAAATATGAAAGCGTTTAAGAGATGCATATAATAGAATGGGAAGATCCAACGTGTCTAGTAAGTGTTTTAGAAAGAGAGCTTACAGAGAACAGTGAAGAGGTCATATTTAAAGAGACAACAGATGAGAATTTTCCAGAGTTGGTGAACGACATAAATCCTCAGATTAAAGACACACACTGAGTGTTGAGCAGAATATATGAAAATTAAACCATACTTTTAAAGAAATGTTTAAAAATATATATAGGAATATAATTATAAAAGTGGTATTCAGAATCAGGGAGATTAAAAGGGATGCTAATGTTGGTGTTGGCACAACTGTACCAATAAATAACCATCTGGAAAAAGATGCTTATATTATTTGTGAGGATAAACTCCCATGAAGAAGAGAACTTGGGCCTTTCTCACTCATATCAAAATCAATAAGCCAGAAAAGAAAAGGTTGATAAACTGAACTCTTAAAGAACAAATAAATAAAAATGGAAGAACTTCTGTCTAGGAAAAACAATGATTAAAAACTATTCTATGGCTAATATCCCTGTCCAGGAGTTTTCTTAGCATTATCTTATGAACCATTCTTTGTGGTTCAAAGAATAACACCTTGAAATTTTTGGTACATGTGGCCACATTGCCCTTCAGAAAGCATGTTGCTTTTAAATATTTTGTCATTTTGTATATTTTATCATTGATCCAATTGTGGATTTTTGTAGATACTCAGTGGACATTATAAAGCCTATAAGTTGATCTTTTATTTTTTTTTCAGGCATCAAGTACATGAAAAAGAAGAATTCAAGGCTTTGAAAACATTAAGTATTTTCTACCAAGCTGGGACTTCCAAAGCTGGGAATCCTATATTTTATTATGTTGCACGGAGGTAAGAAACACTGTTTTTTTGTTTTGTTTTGTTTTGTTTTAACTGAAGTATTGTCATGCTGTGTTAATTTCTAGTGTATAGCACAGTGATTCAGTTGTGTATACACACACACACACACACACACATTCCTTTTCATTTTAGGTGACTATAAGGTATTGAGTATAGTTCCCTGTGCTATACAATAGGACCTTGTTGTTTATCTGTTTTATATATAGTAGTTAGTATTTGCAAATCCCAAACTCTCAAGTATCCCTCCCTACCTCCTTTCCCCACCTGGTAACCATAAGTTTATTTTTTATGCCTGTGAGTATGTTTCTGTTTTGTAAATAACTTCATTTGTGTCATTTTTTTAAGATTCCACCTATAAATGATATATGGTATTTTTCATTCCCTTTCTGGCTTACTTCACTTAGAATGATTATCTCCAGGTCTTTCTATCCATGTTGCTGCAAATGGCATTATTTTATTCCTTTTTATGGCTGAGTAGTATTCCATTTATGTGTGTATACACACTCACACACACCCACAACTTCTTTATCCAGTCATCTGTTGATGGACATTTAGGCATCTCCATGTCTTGGCTATTGTAAACCGTGCTGCTGTGAATATTGGGGTGCATGTATCTTTTTGAATTAGTTTCATCAGGATGTATTCCCAGGAATGGGGTTGCTGGATCATATGGTAAGTCTATTTTTAATTTTTTAAGGAACCTCCATACTGTTTTCTATAAACTACATTCCCACCAACAGTGTAGAAGGGTTCCCTTTTCTCCACACCCTCTCCAGCATTTATCATTTGTGGACTTTTTAATGATGGCCATTCTGACTGGTGTGAGGTGATACCTCATTGTAATTTTGATTTACATTTCTTTAATAATTAGTGATATTGAGCATTTTTCATGTGCCTGTTGGCTATTTGTATGTCTTCATTGAAGAAAAGTTTGTTTAGGTCTTCTGCCCATTTTTGATTGGGTTGTTTGTTTTTTTGTTATTGAGTTGTATGAGATGTTTGTATATTCTGGAAATTAAGCGCTTGTCGGTCTCATTTGCAAATATTTTCTCCCATTACGTAGGTTGTCTTTTCATTTTGTTTATAGTTTCCTTTGTTGTGCAAAAACTTGTAAGTTTAGTTAGGCCCCATTTGTTTATTTTTGCTTTTATTTCTATTGCCTTGGTAGACTGCCCTAGGAGAACATTGCTGTGATTTATATCAGAGGGTGTTTTGCCTGTGAGTAACACTATGTTTTAGTTTCTCTCACCAGAGTTTTTTAAATGATAGCAAATGCAGAGAGACAGACAACAAGTTTGGTTTTTTGCCATTTGACTTTGTTAGAATTGAAGACAAGCTTTTCTGGGAGAATGAAGCTGGGTAAACCGCCATCTCATTCCGAAATGATGCTCAGTATATTAGAAATTGCTTTTCAGACTACCTATTTCATACTGGCTTCTTTTTGTTACATAATTTTTTAAAAATACCACCTACAGGGAACTACAAAGAGTGAAAAAATCACAATCTTTTGTTTTCAGATATATTCTGATTAAATAACATCCACAACATGATAATCAGAAACTTTTTAAAAATGGAAATAAAACTTCAAGAGTCTGTTTCTGAGAACTTTTAGCAATATGTGTGTAAGACAACCTCAGAGTGATTTAACAAATAATTCAGAGATGGTGTGGGAAATTTCTATAAAGATAGCACAGGTGGCAGCCTGGAAAATTGATTGTTTGCTTATGCTGTCTTCAGTAAAGGCTAATTCCTAGAAAGTCTTTCTGCAAATGCTGTGATCCCCTCCTTCAAAATAGGTGTGATGCTTGCATTGTTTTCCCGGCCATTGTCTTTTCTTTCTTGCCTCATTCTGCCTTCCTTTTGAGAACCCGTCTATGATATTATTTGGCCAGTTTTACTTCTTCCCATTTAGTGTGACATAAACTCATGGTAATTGAACCTTAGGAACAGTGTGATATAATAGATAGAACACTGGCTTTGGAATCTCAAGGACAGAGTTTACTTTTTGTTCTGCTATTCACTAGGCTGTAGGAGTTCATCTTTCTGAATTTACTGAATTTAATATAAATTGAGGAATTATTTCAGTAGACTTAGTGGTCATGGGTGGCAAAAAGTTGGCAGTATATTGGAAACAAATGGAGGTTGAGAAATAGTGACAGAGGAGTGAAGGAAGGAAGGTGGAAGTTGGGAAACTCATTTAATCAGATAATTCAGATAGCATTAAAACCAACAAGTCCGAAGACCTGGGGTGTTAGGGAACCAAGAGGGCATAGGAACTTTCACTTATCCTTAGCCCTCCTCTTCAGCAGCTCTGAGTAATATCTCTTCAACTTCATCTGAAAGTCTTCTCTCCAACTTTGATTTCAGGTGCTGTTTCTAAATTGCCTAAGATGACTTTGATTTTCCTTTGCAATGAGATGAACCATGTTTGTATTCTAATCCCAACCTTTAATACCACCAGTGTATTTTGACTTCCCCTATTACATCTCACATTGATGGGAGAGATAGAGAGATGTGTGTCCTCCTCCCCCTTTAAATTGTTAGTTTATAAATGGCAGAGATTTCTGGAAAACCTCAAAGCTGGGTTTTTTCTTCAGGATCAGACTGTAAGATTGTGTTCCTTCTTTACAGTGGTCTGTACCATACAAGGGCAAAGGAAAGTAGCACGAGTCTGATGCAGACACCCTCTGTGGGACTAAGTTAGCGAGATTTCCAGGAAACCTATATAACATGGTGACTTGAGAGAGCTAAGGATTCCAGCTTGCTGTTTCTGCGTAACCTTAGACAAGTTAGTTTTTACAAATGTTAAAGAAGAATAATAATATTTTGAAGAAAAGAGGGGGAAGTGCATATAAAAACTATCCTGTCTCCCTCTCCCATAAAGTATTTTGTGACATATGAAGTTCTGTACAGAGTACGTTTGAGGTTTTCTTTTGTTGTTGTTGTTTTTGCTTTTGAATATAACTGCCAATTTCAAGACTTTCAATCATTTCAGCTTCTTACTTAGACTTATGAGAGCACCTCCTGGTCTTCATTGTCATCTGGTGTGAAGCCTCAGGTTCAGGATAGATAAGCACTTAATAGCTCAGAACAGAGAGAGGCTCAGTTCATCCACTGTATACAAAAGCAGAAGAAGACAGTAAAGGCCTTGCCTCTATCCAGCCAACTTTGTCAGAGGACAACTAGGCTTGACTTTCTGACATTCCTGTGTTTCTGTGGCTTAGACTTCCGTGTATTAGTTTATGTCTTTTGAGCTGTAGATTCTAATCTCCTGTACAGATAGTCCACAGACATTTCAAGCTTCAAGTGTCCAAAATTCAGTGTATATTCAAATAAACTCCTTTTTCACACCATATTCTCTTTCTCAATAGCAACACCATCCCTTCTCACTCCAGAAACCCTAATCATTTTATATTCTTCCCTCTTTCTTTTATCCTCCTTACGATCAATCACCAAGTCTTGATTTTTGTTGTGTGATCTAGGCAAATCAATTAAGTTGTTTTAGTCAAGCCTTTATTGCAAATAAGTCATTCTTATTTTCTGAAGAAGATAGGCCTAAGGGAAAACGTGAATCAGAGCAGAGCCTGCCCAGATGTAGACAGAATTTAGATGGCTGTCAGTTCTGGAACCAGCTTGTGCTCCCTGACTCTCTCTTGTCTTCACATTGAGTTGTACCTCATGATTTTCCTCTTTCTGTATCTTTTCAGCTTTAACCTCAACTAATAAATCCTTCATTACCTTAATACTGCACACTTCAAATTCCAGAAGGAGAACGTTCAGACAAAAAGTGCCGGTTTGGCAAAACCTTTAACTCTGTGTGTTGGCCAGCCAGTAGATTTCTACCTGCTTCTAAGTCAAGTTCTTGCTTCTTGCCCAGCACTCATGTGGTTCAGAATGACCTCCTAGAGCTATTCCTTTATCAGGGGCTGTCCTTAGGCATGTGTTTTAATTTTTTAAATTGGATCTTAATGGTTTAACACTTCTTTTAGGTACCTTGGAAATGTCTTTTGATTCCATTTCCCCCACTGCTATTACTGAGATTCTCTTACTAGCTTTAAACTGTACTAATGCAGCATTATTGTTCTACTCCCTAAACCCTACATACCTACTTCCATGTCATCTTAACATTGCTTCTGGAGGCAGTTTCCAGTGCACACCTAATCTTGTCTTTATGTGTTAAATAGCACCATTGAGTCCCCATATAAAGTCTAGGCTGTATAGTTGGGCATGCTGGGTGCTCCCTAATTTTGACCTAATTTGGTTTCTAATCTTTTCCTGCTATTCCCTCCCATATACTTTTGCTTCTGCACTGTAATAGGTAAAGTAACAAATGCAAGGACAGTGTTGCAGCATTGTTTATAGTGGCAAAAAAAAAAAGTAACTATATATCAAAAGGAAATTGTTGAATAAATGATGATACATCTGTATTATGTAATAATATGTAATGTGTTAAGTTTCTTTTGCTTGTTACAAGTGGCAGAAACAAAACTTAAACTTGTATAAACCAAAAGGGATATCAATTGGCACATGTACCTAAGGAGATCAAGAGATGGACTGGCTTCTTATATGACTATATGCAGACCTTTGAACAGTGTCATCTGGAGAACATCTGTCTTCTCTGTCTCTTGACTCTACTTTGTGTTGATTTTATTCCCAGGCAGCTCTTCCTAAGCAATAGCCGGTGATGGTTTGTGTTTCTCCCAGCTTAACAACCCAGTGGAAAAACACCTCTTTCCTTGTAGTTATAGCGAAAGTCCTGGGCTTATTGGCCTGAGTCACCTGCCAGTTCCTGAGGCAGTCACTGTGGCAAGGAGGATAGAATTTCTTAGTTGTCTAGGCCTGAATCATGTGCCCATCCCTGGAGCTCAGGGGTGAGCCAGCCCTACTTGAGTTGCATGAACGGAAAGTTGGGGGGGAGGTTGGGGACAGCGTTTCCCAAAGGGAAATTGGATTGCCGATATCAGAATCAGGAAAAATGTCAAACTCTCAAATTTATCCCTTCCCATCCCCTTTCCCTCGTAACTGTAAGATTATTTACTATGTCTGTGAGTCTGTTTCTGTTTTGTAGATGAGTTTTTCTTTTCTTTTCTTTTCTTTTTTTTTTTTTAGATTCCACATAGGAGTGATATATGGTATTTTTCTTTCTCTTTCTGGCTTACTTTGCTTAGAATAATGATCTCTTGGTCCATGTTGCTGCAAATGGCATTATTTTATTCTTTTTTATGGCTGAGTAGTATTCGATTGTATAAATATACTACAACTTCTTTGAGATTTGCAAATGTTAGCCACTATATATAAAAATAGATTTAAAAAAACAAGTTTCTTCTTTATAGCACAGAGAACTATATTCAATATCTTGTAATAACCTTTAATGAAAAAGAATATGAAAACAAATGTATGTATGTATATGCATGACTGGGACATTGTGCTGCTGTACACCAGAAATTGACATATTGTAACTCACTGTACTGCAATAAAAAAAATTAAAAAGAATGATTCCAGGGGGAAATAAAATCAGGAAAAATGGATTCTGAGCAGATAAAAGTAACAGAAATCCTCTAATGTAGCTTTAAAAAGATCCAGAAGACTTACTCTGACACTTAACATGCAATGTGCAAAGGAATCTGGGTGTGTATGTGCACATGTATATAGTATGTATAGATTGAGAAGTGAGTAAAAGTATGCACAGTAAACTAGTTCACATTGCTTATCTCAGGGGAGTATGACTGGAGTAGGTGAGGACCAATTACAGTATTTCTGTAATATGTATATCTTTGTACTGTTTGACTTGTTGCCAGGAGCACGTTATTTTTTTAAGAATAATTAAAAATATAAAACTTAAAGTACAATGAAGAGTTTTTGTCTTAGGAATGTTGTGATACGTAGCAATGTAGTAATACCTGCTTTTTGGGTGGCAGTAGTAGTAATAATGTTAATAGTGAACATTTACTGAGTGCTTTCTTTGCATCAGGCAAACTGTACATATTATATGCTTTTTCTTTTAACCCTTAAAATAACCTGCTGAAGTGTTATGACTACCAGTGATTGACTTGTGTGTAAACTGAAATTTAGAGAAATTGTTAGTCATTTGCAAATCTAGCTAACAGAATGACCAGAAAAATTAAAACAAACAAACATACATCCCCAGGCCCTACCTGGGCTGCCAAATCAAAATCTCAAGGCAGAGCCTAATCTAAATACCTGAAAGAGACCCCAAGTGATTCATTTGTAGTCAGTTTATTACCAGTTTGTTTGGGAGTCTCACTGAGTCATGTATTTATTACTCATGGTAGCACAACTAGTAAGAATCAGAGTTGAGTTTCAAACCTTAACAACTGCACTGTTAACAATATAGTTAATATCACTGTTAAAATTATATACTAGGTTTTTAGGTTAAATCAGTCTTTGCAGACCAGCATGAAACTCTTACCAGTAGTTATGGGACATACTTCTGTAGGGAAGAGTTCTGAATTCTAGGCATCAGATTTGCAAATGCCCTTTTGAAATGAAAGACAAAGATTTACTCAGAGTAAGATAACTTTGTCATTGGAGCAGCTGTATTCTGCATTCCAAAGGTTAGCAGAATTGGAGCCTTGTTTTTACTGTAACAACATATTACTATTACACATTCATGGAATATGGTGATACCTTTGTCTATTTAATAAAAAATAAAATAACACAAGAACAATACACATCACTTCTCATCCCCCATCCCCAATCCTTCTCTCTCTTTCTCTCTCTCACACACACACACACACACACATACACAGAGGCATACTTTGGTTAAATGTTGCCAACATAATTTCTTCTCTTATATTTTTAATGAAAAATCCGAGTTTCAATTCAATTTTGCAAACATTTAAAAGGCACATATGTGGTATTTTGCCCTTTTTTTTTTTAGCATTTATGAGGAAGGAAACCATCATATTAAGGTAGTAATTCAGCTTACACAATTAAAATTTCAAACAAGCAAATTAAGCGAGGATAATGATAATTTCCTCAGAAGTAAGTTGAAATAAATTTGGTTTTCGTAGTGTGCTTATTGTCATTTGTCAGATAACAATGAACTGAGATAGCAGTGCAGACAGTCCAAGTCTGCTTCAGCCTGAGTGCACACAAAACAGCAAAAATATTACATAGAAAAGAAAGTGAATGCTGTCTGTTGGATTCAGTGTGGTGCCATGACTTTTCATAGTCACCGTATTCATGGTTGTGGCTGTCTTTGGAGTCGTTTTTGTTTTCATAATTGTCTGGGAATTTGAAGTCGTCTTAGGATCTGGGGTTCTTTGGATCTTTGAAGTTGTCTTGGAATTCAGGATTGTCTTGGAATCCAGGGTTCTCTTGGAATTCGGGGTTGTCTTGGAGTCCAGGGTTGTCTTGGAATCCAGGGTTCTCTTGGAATTTCCAGGGTTGTCTTGGAGTCCAGGGTTCTCTTGGAATTTGGGGTTGTCTTGGAGTCCAGGGTTCTCTTGGAATTCAGGGTTGTCTTGGAGTCCAGGGTTGTCTTGGAATCCAGGGTTCTCTTGGAATTTGGGGTTGTCTTGGAGTCCAGGGTTCTCTTGGAATTCAGGGTTGTCTTGGAGTCCAGGGTTGTCTTGGAATCCAGGGTTCTCTTGGAATTTGGGGTTGTCTTGGAGTCCAGGGTTCTCTTGGAATTTGGGGTTGTCTTGGAGTCCAGGGTTGTCTCGGAATTTGGGGTTGTCTTGGAGTCCAGAGTTCTCTTGGAATTCAGGGTTGTCTTGGAGTCCAGGGTTGTCTCGGAATTCAGGGTTGTCTTGGAGTCCAGGGTTGTCTCGGAATTCAGGGTTGTCTTGGAATTTGGAATTGTCTTTGAATTTGGACTGATCTGCTTAGAGGTTGTCATAGAATATGAGGTCGTTGGTTTTGAAGTTTGTCCCAAAGTGCTAACAATCAGTAGGAACAGACTGAGTAATAGCTTCAACATCATTTTCCTGTTTCAAAATAATTACAGAAAATTAATCTGACACTTGAATCACAAACAGATCTAAGAACTAGCATTTTTTAAAGTAGGGGTAGGAGGATGAAGGAGACCTATCTCAGCACTGGGGAAATGCCATCCTTGGTTTAACAAATTTCATAGTTTGCAAGATAGAAGGAAATAAAGAAGTGATTAATATCAACTCCATTTTACAAATGGGCTGAAAGGGCTTAACTTGCCTGAGGATACATATCTAAAAATGACCACACTTAGAACTGGAGTGAATCTTAGTCTAGTGTCATTTAGTAGATGGAGACTAAGAAGGCATAGTATAGACATATACCAAAAGTTTAGTAGTAAGCCATTTTAAAAGAAAGCTATTTTTTTTAAATCCTATATTCAAATCTAAAATTAGCTTGCCACATTTGAGATAAAGTAGCTAGCCCATATTGAACATAGTTAACTTTCTTTTTTTAACTTAAAGCTCAAAACTTTAATTTTAGAAATCTAACATATGCTGAAATTGACATTTGGTTCTAATATGTAATTGAGAAAACTTCAAATGAATATTACCTTTTGATGTTTTTTCTTTGACAGTTAAGACTTCAGGCTTTCTCCGGTGTCCTATGGGGAATCTAATTTCTTACTCACTCTGTGCTATTTAAATATAATTAGTAAGTCACGTGAACTTGACCTGCTATTTGCTCTTTGAAAATAACCTGTTGGGTGCTTTCCTAACTGATGCAAACAGTTGGATTATGGCAGAGATCAAGTAATTCAAATCAAGTCTTTCTAAAATCTAGTCACTTATTCAAAAAATCCTGTGGACTACCACTTTGTTATTCCCCTTATCTATGTGTACATTAGTGAATGTCTTCCCTGGATTGATTCTAACTAGAGGAATATACTGTTGGCTTGCTGTGATTGTCTTAACTTAAAGTCAAATAAGTATATTAGAGATAGATGTCTTTTTTTTTTTTCTGAAAGCATCTTATATTTATGTTTGTAGGGTAGTTTGAGGCTATTATTATTTTGAAGTTTTAAAAATAATTCAGGAGTTTAGCATTCCAGGAATTTAATTTCTAGGAAATAACTATTTATTCTGTTAGAAAAGAAATTAAACTTTATTAATATAAAACTAAATAAGCCATTGCTGTCCACCAGAAATTAACACTTTGTAAATCAACTAGACTTCAATTTACAAAAAAAAGACCTAAGTAAGAAAAGAATTGCATAACAACAATTTATACTGTGTAGCACAGGGAACTTTAGTCAATATCTTGTAGTAACTTATGGTGAAAAAGAATATGAAAATAAATATATATGTTCATATGTAATGGAAACATGCTGTACAGCAGAAATTGATACATTGTAAACTGACTATACTTCAATTAAAAATACATATACAAAAAAAGAAAAGATTGTATATGAAAGTGATACTTTTCATATTGAGTTTGCAAAGACTTTTTTTAATACATTAAACCATCCACATTGAAGAGCATTAAGTAAATTCTTTAAAGTAATTTTGGTCACTCCTTTTCCTTGACAAATGGCATACAGGGAAGTTGGGTTGTATTGTGCTAATGTTTTCATCACATTAGTGAGCTCTCTTTTAAAATTGCAGGGCTGTGAGCAATGGTGTTGACATACAAGGAAACTGCTATATAAAAGGCAGAAGTACAAGTCAGTACACGTTTCTGATTTGTTTTACTTTGTTATGAAGGTTTTTTTTCCCCCTTCTTGAATGACTAGAACCAGTTCTTGCTAAATCTCATTTATATGGTACACATAATATAGAACCTCACTTATCTGGAGATTAGTGTTGTCAGACCTAAGAAGTAAAAAGCCTCTTAGCAACCAGATAGATATTAAAAATCAGAATACTAAGGTAATGCACAGATAACTTTTTATTGGTGGTTCAGACATCTCAGTCTCAACATAGTTAAAATTTTAAATTCACCATTTGCCCCTTCCTATTCTTATGCCCAGATATATTTTTCTCATAATCTCTTTCTCAGTTAACTGCATCATTGCCTAGCCAAATGGTTCTTCAACCTTGGATTTCTTACTGTCTTCTTACTGATCTCAAGCTGCCCAGGCTTCTCAACGATAATTAAGTAAAATTAAAAATTCTGAACTCTCCAGCACTCAGATGCTACCCCTTACAACAACAACAAAAAAATCACTTACCATTATTCAGGCCTTTAAATACTTGCCACTTCTTTATCTTTGTTCAGCCTCCCACATCTGCCCAAAGTATTTCTTCCTCATTCAGAATTTTCCATTCTTCCTCCAAGGTCTAACTCTGATGGCAGCATGTTTTATGTGAGCCTTCCTTAATTCTGTACTTCAGAGTCAGTCATTTTAGAACTTCATACTTCTACAGTGCTTATCAGAAACTATTTTTTACTGTAGATGTGTCCTAAATCTTTCTTCCACCATGTTCCGGCTTTCTTGTGGTCAGGTACTACCTCTTACTCTTTGTATTTCTTCTACCTGCTAGCACAGTGAGTACTTGTACAGAATAGGGTAAAACAAACATTAGAACTTATTGAGATATCTCCTCTTTGTTTCTTCATGTCTGAGGGCTGATACTGTTAGTAATGTCTAGAATACTAAGAGACGTGTGGTCATTTGCAGTTTTCCCTGCATCATAAGCATAAATGTGCAACTCACAGGCCTGAATTTAAATCCCATATCTACGTTCTGTCTGTTGTTTTGAGAGGGCTTCTTTATTTGTATGATGTGGATTGTATGTGTATTGATTGTTGCTTTCCTTTGTTAACGCAGGATCACCTGCTGTGGATCGGGTGCCCCTGGGGAAACACAACTGTCACCCAGATTTGAGCGCCATAGCAATCAATTAAGTAACAAAAATTTGACAGAGTAAATTTTTTAAAAAGATGTAATTGGCTTTATTGAACAATTCGTGAATCAGACAGCATCCCATGTAACAAGTAGAGAGGAGCTCCAAAGGATTATGAAAATGGAAAGGTTTTTAAAGGCAAGACAAGGAAGTCATAAACAAGGAAGATTACGTCTGGCTTAAGAAACCTACCATTGGGAATGGAAGGGGTCTGTCTGTGTGGCAGATTACCTCATTTGCCTTTTGGGGATGGAAATGATTACCTCATTGGTGCTGACCAGAAAATTCCACACTGACTGGTTAGGATTACATTCTTGGAGAAGACTGTAACTGAAGTTAGGTTAGGTATTAAGTCTTGGTATTAACACAAGTGACTCCATTTTGGGCTTGTCATTTCTCTTTTTTCAATAGCAAGTAGTAGCAAGTGGCTTTTCAGTGCAGACAGTTACTTTTCAGAAATCTGTTTGGAAGCTTCCTGAGAAAGTGGCTATGCAAGTGTGTAAAAACAGGCTGTTGTTTCTGTTACGTTATTGTTACTTAAGTGTGAGTACCTTTTAAAATTGCCCATTAGAACTTCTATGGTAAAATTTCAGCCACTTCAATGTAGGGATCTAATACAGGAAAAAGAACACCTTTCCCCTTAGTTGCAGAATACATGTTCTGAGAAGAAGTGTCCATCTTTGAACAAGTTTGTCTTCCTAGTGGTATAATACTGTAAACCTGTTGTCTAATTTTGGATTGTCATTTATTCTTATTTTTCATTATCAAGGAAAAAAAAGTGATTTAATTAAAAAAACAAAAAACAAAAAAACATTTCCTTCTTTCTGTTTTCTTCTCTTGGATAATGGTCTTTCCATCCATCTTGAGTTTTAAATAGGAGGCTGAGGGAGGGTATAGCTCAAGTGGTAGAGCGCATGCTTAGCATGCATGAGGTCCTGGGTTCAATCCCCAGTACCTCCATTAAATAAATAGACGTAATTACTTTCCTGACCCACAAAAAAAAAAAAAAAGGCTAAACATCAATCTTCATTTCTACCTGCTCTTAACCACATACATCTGATTAGTCATTAAGTCTTGTTGATTCTGCTTCACAAAAACTTTTGTGCTTTATCCTTATATTACAGACTCCGTTTGTAGCTTCATCAGTTGTCTAAACGTGTTTGTCAAAGGACAGGTAGTAAATATTTTAGGCTTTACAAGCCACATTGTTTTTCTTTTTTTCTTGTTTTTGTCTTGTTTTTTGGTTTTTACCACTCTTTAAAGATATAAGAACCATTCTTAGCTTGCAGGTCATACAAAATTAGACCACAAGTAGCATGTGGGCATGATATTGCCAGTGGATCGTAATTTGCTGACCTCTGGTCTAGGCTGTTGCAATAATTTTCTGTTTGGATTTTTTTTTCCACCAGTAATTTACCCATCCCCTTTATCTTCCGCATTACTGCCAGAATGATCTCTCTAGAATATGACCATGTGACTTTAAGATAAAACCCTTTATGTGCTCCTGTTCACTAAGTTTTTATACTTCAGGCATCCGTATACCACCTTTGGGGTTTTTGTCATTTCTTCATAAGATCTGTATTATTATTTCTTCAGTGTTTTTATTGACTTTTTTCTTAAAGGAAATTTTATATTATACCATAAACAGAAAATCAGTATTGATTGCCATAACTAGAAAACCAGTAAATAAAAGATAATAGTAAAAGAGAAATATAGAATTATTAAATGACTATTTCATATACCACCCCATCATATAAGTACCACTCTTCAGAAAACCCCTGGTTATAAGATAAAGCTTGTTTCCTTAGCGTCTTGTACAAGTCTCTTCATCTTTTATACTGTTCACAGTAGTTGCAAGATTGCTAAACTAAAGCAGAAGGTTGAAAGTCATTTTGGTAAGAGACTAGAGATGCTGGCCTTATTCTGGAACCCTCATGATGCTATCATCATTGATATGGTTCCAGGTAAGCCTTGTGTGCTTTCTGGGTTGCTTTCAAGAAAGTGTGTTCATGACACATTGCTGTGAGTATCTTTAAGGGTACTTGTCTTGAAGACTTTAGGAGCTGGGAAAGCCACAGAGTCTGCCTAGAAAACTCAGGATGCCAAACGCGCATTCTACACATAACCTCTACTGTATTGGTTGAAAAAGTCTTAAAACCATTTTTCTCAATTGGTCATTTAAGTTTAATAATAAAAGACCAGTCATTACAGTGTGTAGTAACATCTGTAGAAAGAAGCTCTAGACTTTATATGTCTCACTTTTGCTTCAGCAACACTGACCATCTCACCATTGCCCTACTCTGCCATGCCCTGGCATCCTGGCATGCCTGTGTGATTTTGCATAGGCTTACCATTGGCTTCGGATGCCTATAACATAGGACAAACTCCTACTTTTGATTCAAGACCCATCTCAGTAACCTGACTCTCACTCCTCTAGGCAAGTTTTTAAAAAATAATAACAGCTTTATGGAGATATAATCACATGAAATTTATCCTCATAAAACTGTTCAGTTTAGAGGTTTTTAGTATATTCACACAGTTGGGCAATTATCACCACTATCTAATTTTAAACATTTAATCACCCCCAAAATAAACTCTGTATTCATTAGCAGACATTCCACATTCTCCCTTGCCCTAACCCCTTTAGTCCCTCGTAACCATTTTGTGTGTGTGTGTGTGTGTGTGTGTGTATATGTGTATTCTTCTTTTCACATTTTCTTTATCCATTTGTCCATTGATGGATACTTAGGTTGTTTCCAGATCTTGACTAT